CCACTTCATGGAGCCCACACCCTCCCTGCGCTGCCAGAGCCGCCACTGCCACTACAGCCCCCAGTGCCCCCAGTAAGGCCCATGGGCATGAGGCTGTCCCGGGCCATGCTGCTGCTGCTGCTGCTGCTGGGACTGGGTGAGTGAGGTGGGGGTATGGGGACGAGGGCAGGAGGCAGTTGGGAGGCTGGTAACTGCCCATGCCTTGAACCCTGATCCCGGATGCTGGTGCTGGGGTTCCCACACAGGCAGGCTGGGATGAGCCCCAGGCAGAAGCACCCCATCCGTCCTTGGGCAGCACAGCCTGGCTGGGGTGCAGGCCCCTCATCGCTTTCTTCCTCCTCAGTAGATATAGAAATGGGGCTTCAGACCCCTGGACCATCTGAGCTAGGAGCCCCAGCAGAGTGGGGGTGAAGGCTGCAGGTACAGGAGATGCCAGGGCCCACCTGCAGGGTGGCTGCCCTCTGCTGGGGACACCTTCCCACATTCCTGGGCCAGCCCGGCTAGCCTGGTAGCCACAGCACTTCCCTGTCCTCAGCTTACCTCCCAGGGCTGGGCCAGCTTCCTCATTCTCCAGCTCAGGGCAAGCAGGTCCCCAACAAGGCCTGCCTGGCTAGCAACAGCTGGACTCCCATGAGACACAAGGCTGCTGCTGCCCCACGGGTCCCAGGATCATGGCCACTGCCACATGAGGGACACAGGGCCCTGACACACTCGGCAGTGGTGTCCAGCGCTCACAGGATGTCTGCCCCAAGCCCCACTGTGCTCACCTCCTCCCCACGTGCACTGTCCCCGTGCACACCCCGACCGTGGGTTCCAACCTTGGGCTGCAGGGCTCCACGCAGCCCCCAGGGGACAAGCAGGAGGCTCCATGGGGACATCTCCCCTAGGATGTCCCAGCAGAGACCGCATTCTGGTTAGGATTCTGTCTGGATCTGCCCACGCTGGGAGGAGAGGGTGTTGTGGGACACGGATGTGGTCTGTACCACGGAGGTGCTGTGTGCCATGCGCGGTAGGTAGTGTGTGGAGCATATGAGAACAGGGGCTGCGCTTGGCAAGCAGTCCGAGGCCTCAAGTGCCTCACTGGCCTGGGGGACACCAAGCCAGGTGAGGAGCCCGCACCCAAACCCGAGGAGGCCTCCTTTTACCGTCATGCCCAGCCAAGCTTTGTTTCTCCCTGCCCACCTGCCTGGCCCCTTCCTGGCAAGGTAGCTGGTGGACCTTCTACGTTTCCACCCAGCAGGTCCCTCTTCATGTCCTCCCTCCAGGTGGCTTTAGGGAGCTGTCCTACACCTGTGTATCCTGTAGCAGAGTCTTGGGGTCCCCAGACTCCACAGTGAGGCATAGCTCATCCTGGCCCTCCAGTCAGCTCCCAGAAGGCTTCCAGCCAAGGACACATGGAGGGTGGGAAGCAGGGGCCCCGCAGGGCCAGGGACGAAGCAGACTGCCCCAAGCTCCACAGCAGGTTCTTGCAGATGGTCCTGGCTGTAGCCACCGCAGAGCCAGGCATGGGAGTGCTGGCCTCTGCTGCCACAACCCCGTGACTGTCCCTGCTGAACCCCTCAAGGGCTGGATGGGGAGAAGCAGCTCTCGGCTTCAGCGTGGTCCCCCCGTCAGCCCTTCTCCTTCCTTCCAGGGACTCGGGGATCCAGAGCCTCAAGAGGTAAGCTCCACACCTGGCCCAGACTGGCCCAGGGCAGCCAGGACACTGTGCATGAGGCTAGGCTGCAGCAGAGGGTCACGAGGAGGGGAAGGTCAGGAAGAGTGACAGGCAGGGCCGATTAGGTGGGTGACCTTCTCTCTTGGAGGGGACTGACATGCAGCTACCTGTCCCATGAGCACTGGGTCCTGTAAGGCAGTGGGAGGGGCTGGGGCTGGAATTAGCAGCATGGACCCAGGCCTCAGTGCAAACCTTGCCATGTTCCTCCAGCTTGTGGACACCCCAGGATGCTCAACAGGATGGTGGGCGGCCAGGATGCCCTGGAGGGCGAATGGCCCTGGCAGGTCAGCATCCAGCGCAATGGGAGCCACTTCTGTGGAGGCAGCCTCATCTCGGAGCAGTGGGTCCTCACAGCTGCGCACTGCTTCACCAAGTGAGTCAGCACTGTGGACAGTGCCTGCTGGGCAGGCAACAGCTGGCAGCTTGCCCGGCCAGAACCTCCCCTGGCAATTCTGACCTGCCAGCCACAGCCAGGCCCTTCCCCCGCCCCAGCAGCAGCTGCACGGCTGTTCCCAGATGAGGCCCCCTCTGAGGCTGCCCACCACGGCTTAAGTAGAAGCTCCGTGGTGGTCCCACATACCTCACTTTCACACCCCGGTTCTGGCCTTCAGCCCTCTCTACAGGCCCATCAGGGGACCCTTATTGTCCAAGTTACAGATAAGAGGCTGAGACCCGAAGGTGGGCCATGTGGCTTTGCAAGCCCCAGGGCTGGTTCTCTCATGGGCGTGCACCAAGGTGGGCATGGGGTGGCCCTACTCTCCTGCACAGGGCAGGCCCCTCACACTAGCCCTCTCCCATCAGCACCTCCGAGACGTCCCTCTACCGGGTCCTGCTGGGTGCGCGGCAGCTTGTGCAGCCAGGGCCGCACTCCAGCTATGCCCGGGTAAGGCGGGTGGAGAGCAACCCGCTGTACGAGGGCATGGCCTCCAGTGCTGACTTGGCCCTGGTGCAGCTGGAAGAGCCAATGACCTTCACCAACTACATCCTCCCTGTGTGCGTGCCCGACTCCTCAGTTGTCTTTGAGGCGGGCATGAGCTGCTGGGTCACCGGCTGGGGCAGCCCCAGTGAGCAAGGTAAGGGCAGGGGCAGCAAGGAAGAGGGCAGCCTTGACCCCACTGCTTCCTGTCCATGTGGGCACGGCCTTGGGGGAGTGCTCCATGGCCACCGGGCTGAGCTGCAGGTTGCTGCCACTCCCCAGACCGCCTGCCCAGTCCCCGGGTGCTCCAGAAGCTCAAGGTGCCCATCATGGACACACCGTGGTGCAACCTGTTGTACAGCAAGGATGCCGTGGCCGGTTTCCAGCCCAAGACCATCAAGGAGGACATGCTCTGTGCTGGTTTTGCAGAGGGCAAGAGAGACGCCTGCAAGGTAATGGGTCTGGCCATGCGCATGGGTGCCAGGATCTGCCTGTCACCTGGTGGGGTGGGTGCCCCCAGCACCCTCACTGTGGTGAGCAGGAGGGCTGGGCAGGGTACAGGGCTGCCTGGGCTCCAGCTGCTCTGAAGGTGCCTCTGTTCCTCGTCCTCCTCCCCACAGGGTGACTCAGGAGGACCCCTTGTGTGCCTCGTGGGCCAGGCGTGGCTACAGGCTGGGGTGATCAGCTGGGGTGAAGGCTGTGCCCGCCGGAACCGCCCGGGTGTCTACATGCGGGTCACCGCCCACCAGCACTGGATCCACCAGATCATCCCAGACCTGCAGTTCCAATCGGGGAGGTTGGGGGGCCAGAGAGGAGACCCCCGGGGCCAGCAGCCCGTGGACCAGAACTTGGCGCCCTGCCTGGTGGCCCATACAGCCCTGCTGGGCCTCACAGTGCTGCTGGCTGCTCTCTGAGGCACCCAGGCCTGCCCCGCCCCACCCCCACCCGGTCCCAGGGTGCTTTTTATTTATGTCCCTGTCAACACAAACCTAGCCTCGGACGAGCTGCTGGCACTGACCCTCAGGAGGCCTGGGGTGGTGGCTGAGGCTGAGCGTTGGGGAAGACTTCAGAGTGCATGCTTCCTGCTGGGAAAGGTGTGGGGAATGTCCAGCTCAGGACAGTCTCAGATCCCCCCAAGCCCCTGCTGCCACCCATGCTGGACCCGGGACACCTACACGAGGCAGACGACCACACAGGGAAGGCCAGCAGTAGCCTTCACCCCACAGTCCCCAGCCTGACCGCCCCCGGGAGTGCAGAGCACAGGGCCACCCCGCAGTCCCCAGCCCCAGCCCCCCAAAGTGCAGAGCACAGGGCCACCCCACAGTCTCCAGCCAGACCGCCCCCCCCGGGAATACAGAGCACAGGGCCACCCCGCAGTCCCCAGCCCCAGCCCCTCAAAGTGCAGAGCACAAGGCCACCCCAGAGTCTCCAGCCAGACCGCTCCCCCAAAGTGCAGAGCACAGGGCCACCCCACAATCTCCAGCCAGACCGCTCCCCCAAAGTGCAGAGCACAGGGCCACCCCACAGCTCCCAGCCCCAATTGCCCCGCTGGAGTGCAGCCCCAACGGCACCCTCTGCCCCTGCTGCGGAGTGCAGAGCAGGCAAGGGGGCTGGGCACCCAGGGAGGGAAGGTACGGACACTGGAATTGGAAAACCACAGGACATGATGAAGGGACACCCTCTCAGACCTCTGTGCCTGACCAGGCTCAGCTCCATCCCACAGGTCACTTCACACAACCCCTTTCCCACATCAGGGTGGGTGTCTGGAAGCCCTGACAATGGGGACAAGGAAGGCTGTGGGTCTGGAGGGCAGTCTTGGGGCCAGGTCTGGGCCCCTGGGGACAGCCTGAGGCTCAATGAGGGGCCCAAACTCTCCTAGGTTGACCTGAGGGAGCGAGGGGCTGGGCTTCCAGAAGGCAGCCGCCCAGAGGGCACCCAACCTGGCGGGACAGCGGGATGGGGGACATTAGGCCCAGGACAGAGAGCTCAGCAGCAACCCACTGCCCAGGAGGTCCAACACATGGATCCCTGTCCCTAGGATGGGGTGATGCCAGCAGGAACCTGGCAGGTGTCCAGGGTCAGGCCTGTACAGACAGCTGTACTTCACCAGCCTTGGCTGGAGCCACTCTCTTAGACAGACACAAGGACTCCCGACTCCCTGTGCAGGTGGCCCCATGAGGACTCCCGACTCCCTGTGCAGGTGGCCCCACGAGGACCCCCGGCTCCCTGCGCAGGTGGCCCCACGAGGACCCCCGGCTCCCTCCGCAGGTGGCCCCATGAGGACTCCTGGCTCCCTGTGCAAGTGGCAGTGCCCTAGCCAGAGCAGCAGCCTCTTTGTGCAGTGGACATCACCAATAGCCGTTGTACTTTCATAAATACACAATTTTATTTGCTATTTTCAGGGGAAACTTAGGCATTAAACGGTAAGCTGATAAAATACGGATACCTAAAAAAGTATAAAAGTATAAATATCCCCTTAGAATAAATTTTAGTGAATTAAGTCTTAATGTCTTTAAATTAAAACAAAAACAAAAACAAAACCCACAAGCCTACCTATTACATCAAGGTCACAAATCAAACAGCGCTAAGCAGCCAGCGTCCCCGGGCAGAATGCCCCCCAACACCAAGGCCAGCTTCCTCCTGGGCTCCATTGGGCGCGGTGGGGTCAGCTGGGGGCTTAGTCCATCCTCTACAAAGATTGTTATAAATGGTTCAAGCCAAACATTTAACAAAATACAAGAGACCTTAAAAAAAGAGGTGAGTCCCAGACGCTGGGGGACTGGGGAACGAGGATCGGGGCCAGAAGCCTCCAGAAGCATTTGGAACTGCACGGTGTCAGTGCTCGGATTCGCCGGGCAGCCCCAGGGTCAGGAAACACAGCCACCCTGCAAGCCACAGCTGGAGTAACCAGGAGCTTGGTGGCGGGACAGGCCGACTCCGAGGGGCCCCAGCAGCTCCCGCATCGGCCGTGTAGCATCTCACATCCGTAAACACGGCAGAATGCATAGTTACACAAGAAACAGGCAGACTGTGGGGCACTGTTAACAGCCCGCGTCTTCAACATGGCCCACAGTCCCAGTGGCCACCCCCCCCCCCAGGCAACAAAGGCACTGGTGGGTACCAGCTCTGCTGGACTCCCGGGCAGGCCCTCCACCTCCCACCCAGCGACCGGCACAGCCACCACAGCACAGCCCACCCCGAGGCATCTTCGAGTACCAACACCAGGTGGCCTACCCACACCTGAAAAAAGGGACAGACACGCACACACACACACCAGCTCACCGGGAAACCACCAGCTAAGAAGCCTCAGCGCCCGGAAGTAGTGAAGACACAGAGGCCACCTCGGTCGACCCACTGCAGTGGGTGGGAACGGCCGGCGCCAAGGCCCTGCCCCAGAAATGAGGCCTGGTGCTCGCACAGCGCCTGCCGGCCACGGGCTCAGCCACTGCCCTCGGCTCAGGCTGTCCCCCCCGACCAAGAATGTGTGTAGCACCAAGAATGCCGGCCTCCAAAGGGTCTGTGGGTCCTGCAGCTGCGCAGCTGCCGGCAGCTGCCTCAGGCCCTACACAGCGCAGCCAGCCACTGTGCCTCGTCTGTGGTGAGGCCTGAGCTCAGACAGATGGGCCGTCTCTCACCACCCACCTCAGAGGCAAAGAAGGATTCACACCCAGATCTCTAGAAAAATAATCAAAAGCAGATTTCTTCTCACGGCCAAGCTTCCTGGACATGGCGGCTCATTGCATCTTGGGAAAAAGTAAATGGTTTCTTGAGCTGTCGGCAGTGCCTCTCACATCCTGGAACCCCGTTCCTGCAAAATCTGGAAACACCAAAAGCCCAGGATGAGGGTGCACCCCAGGCCCAGGATGAGGAACCCAGCAGTGCAGGCCACACAGCAGACTGTCCCCCACCCCCGTCCCCCAGGTCACCTCAGCGAACAGCTCCTTGGGGTGGCCCCAGGACCCCACTCTCCTCCAAGCCAGAACAGAGTGGGGCTCAGCACCCTGACCGTCCCTAAAAGCCTCCCGCCTTAGCCTCTCCTCTCCCCTGGCAGAGCCCACCTGCCGGCTGCTGGCTCTTACTCTAGCTCTTCGCTGGGCCTCAGATGTTCCCGCCTGCCTGCTGCCTACCTGCCCTGGTGCCCCCAGCATCACCAGCTAGCCAAGGTGGCCCTGAGGGCCAGGAGGAGGTGGTCTCAACTTGTACCTCAGGTAAGGAGCCTGAAGTTGGAGGTCTCTCAGTGGTGACTTTTGCACCTGGGCACAGGCTACCTGGCACCAGATGAAGAGGGCTGAAACTTTAGGAGGCCAGAGCCTCCAGAAGGGCCCAGACTGAGCTGGGTGTGTGCCAGCCAGGCTTATGTCCAACTCTGCCTCAGTAGGAAGACGCACAACTGCCCACCGGAACACGGCACTGCCCATCTTCCACAGCCCAGACCTTGCCACACCTGCCAGCCAATCTGCTGGTGACCCCATCTCTGGTAGTGGGTGTGGCTTCCTGTATTCCCAGACCCCCCACTGTGCTATGCGGGCATAGGGGGTCTTGGGGGAAGGAAGCTCAGTCCACTTGGCTGCTAAGGCCCTGCCAGGCAGTCCTGATCAAAGTGGGACAAGAGACCAAACCGAGGCTGGAGTCAGGGTCTCCATGATCATGTCCTGGGTGGAAACAGGCTTTATGTCAATGTAGCTACTAGGACATTTTAATAGGCAGATGGAGCTCTCAACAACTCTTCTAAAGGGTCCAAAGTAAACAGCTAAGGGCTATGTGGGGCAAGGCTGAAGGCACTGGTCACTTCTACTGGCAGGCGAATACCGATCACCTAGCAAGCATGGCCACTGCTGGCCCATGGGCCACGCAACCTGCAGTGCCAGCACTGGGCATTTGGCATGGAACGCTCAGCTGGCCAGGTGATTGCCAGTGCCCCTCGGGGGGCTAGCCCTACCTGTCCCCTGCCCTCTTTTCCTCCTAAAGGGGCAGCTGAGATAGCCTGGGCCCTGGCCAGCTAAGGCCGGCAGTGAGGAAGGCTGGGGGCTGAGGGTTCACCTAGTTGGAAGGAGGTCCCAGATGAGGCCCAGCAGGACCGTGTCCAGGGGCCTCCTGGTGGAGGGGCACGATGGAGCCATGGCCCTGCCTTACAGGACCAGAGCTGGCACCCAGTACGCAGGCTTTTCATCAAGCAGGGGCAGAGGTGGACAGACACATGGGGAAGGCCGAGGGTAGGGCCAGCTAAGGTCATGGGTTCAAGGAGGCTAAGGTCACAGGGGTCAAGCAGATGAAGGCATGTGGGTTGATCTCCAGGCTGAGAGCTCACCAGGACCTTTACACTTAATCTGAGTCACTGCCTTGGTGCCCCGTCTCCTCGTTGTCACTCTGGCTGGCGCACGGCGGGCAGCAAGGGGAGAAGACAGGGCCGTCAGCCTTGTGCAGGCCTGAGGGACACCCACAGGTTCCCCAGGAAGGACAGCACAGGCTGGGGGGCGGGGCATAGGCTCTGGGGCAGCGGCCTGCCAGCCACAGCTTCCAGGATGGGACTTGTAGGCACCTGAACTGGGAGTCCTGGGGCCTCCCAACCGACGGGCCAGGACACGGCCTTCTCCACGACAGGCTGTCAGTGGGTGACCCTGCCGTCCCTCACAGCTATGCAATGAACAGGGACCCTGACCACCAGCACTCCCAGTGGGCTCTGAGTAACCACGCAGCACCCACTGAAGTGCGGGAACCCTGATCCCCCTCGCTCCCAAGATACCGTCAACTGTTCGAGCGACATGAGGGGTCTGGGTTTAGTATGAGAAAGGTAGCTGCAGGCCCAGCTGCCCCAGGAGCCAGTCCACCCCCACCTCCTAAAGAAGCCCCTTAGGGCCGCCCCACTTTACAGCCAGTGTTCTGGAAAGACACAGGTATTTTCCACAGCAAAGTGACCTGGTCTTGGTCAGCTGTGTGTGCTAAGAGGCTGCATTTTCTGCAACCAAAGAGCACCCAAGGGACACCAGTCATGGTGTCTGCTCAGACAGATGGGTGAAAAAGGAAGAATAAACCCAAGAGAGAACATGGTCACTCGGGGGCCTTCTGGACTGTGCTGCCTTCTGGACCACACTCAAGGGGCAGCCACACCCAGCCTAGCCCAGCCACCACCTGCAGCATCACAGCGCCACCCACATACTGCAGGGGTCACACCTGGGTGCAGGAGACCCTCCAGCACGGGAAGCTCCAGGAGACCCACTCGGTGACCATGCCTCCTGCTGAACCTCTTCCCTAAAGACCGGGTCTGGCCACCAGGACCTGTGCTGTGAAATGTCCTGAGGCTGAACTCATCCCAGTCTCCTCAGGTCAAGCACTTGCAGCCACACCCCACGCCTGGCTGCCCATGTCCTGCCCCATCTCCTGGATCTGTCAAGAACCTGTGTAGACCTTGTGAATTCAGGCCACAGCTGGCCTCTAAGGTTATGGGCCTCTGGAAGTGTGTTGTGATGTCTATTCACCAGCTCAGGGCAGACGCCATCTGAACCTGACCACCTGCAGGCTCCACAGTTCATCTGGTAGCAAACACAGCAGGTGGCTCCCTGGCTTTCACCGCCTTCCACAGGGGACAAGAGGCTGGCCACATGGCAGGCCACAGCTACGGCCTGCAGAACGCTGTCCCAGGTCAGCCTGTGCAGCCATGTGCCCGGAGCTTCCCAGAGGTGGGCTGGCTGGAGAGTACACGGCAGGCCACACCCAGAGTCCTGAGGATGCTTCCAGGGAACCGTGCCACGTGGGCTGGGAGTCCTGTGAGCAGGCAGGCATCACAGGGAAGCTTGCAGGAGATAGGAAATGGTGAGACTTAGGGCACACGCAGCACTTCAGCGGGAGAAGCTGGCACCTGGGACAGCCAAACCCCATAGTAGAATGGGGCTCACGTCTCCGCTACCCCACTTGTGACCCAGACCCATGCTAACGCAGCAGGACAGGCACAAGTGCTTGAGTCCCCGTCACCCACACGGGAGACCCAGATGTGTCTTGGCACCCGGCTTAGTCCAGCCCGGCTGCTGCGGTCACTTGGGGAGCAACCAGCAGATGTAAGATCTTTCTCCATCACTCTTTCAAAGAAACACATACGTAAAGATATCTTTAAGAAAGAAAGGGTGAGAGTCTGGGAAGAAAAGTCTGCCAAGCCTGCTCGCACACAGCACTGCCTCCTGCACAGGCTCCCACCCCCAGGAGTGCTGCGGCCAGCTGGCCAGGACTCACCTTGGCCTTCTCACTGGGCTCGCTGGTCGTACCGTATGGAGTGTTGTGCAGCTCCTTGGAGACCACACAAAGGAATTCAGCCTGGTCTTCATTTCCATAATTGTAGGAGGAGCCGATGCTGACCAGCTGGAAAGAAGCCGTCCCTGAGTGACAGCAGGTGCAGAGGGCCCGCCGTCTCCCCAGGCTGAGCCAGGCAGAGACCACCTGCACACGGAGGTGGAGGAGGCTCCAGCCAGCAGGTATCACTGAGCCGGGGAAAGGACTCCCCGAGCTGCCCCAGGGGCACATACACACACCTGTGTCCCTCTAATTGCGTGATGTGCTGGGACAGGTTCTGTCTCTGCAGGGACCCTTACCCTGCCTTAGGAGAGGGAAAGGGGCAGGCACTGGGCAGCTGCTGTCCCAGGCAGCAGGACCTGGCGTGGTCTGGGGTCGAGGTCGCAGCTGGACAAGCATCATGTGATGGAGAAACGGCAAGAGCAGCCCGAGAGCGCCGACACGCTCAGCCGTCCCAGGCTCGAGGCATACCTTGCTGTACACTCCAGCAGGGAGCCTCCAGAGTCGTCTGCACTTTTAAACACAGAACTAACCAGAACAAAGTTGCCCAAGCCACAGCATGATCTCAGAGGCTGTGATACAGAACGGCTGAAAGGCGGCAGCACTCTGCCCATCTCTCCCCCCACCCTGCACAGGTGTGACAAGCAGGCACACACTGCACACTGCCACATGGCCACTGCGTTGGCCCCTCTGCCGTGGGCAAGAGGACAGAGATCAGGACTGCTCCAGCCCAGAAGGACTCTCCTCGCAAGGGCCAGAGACCCGGCACTCTCTCACTCAGGTCACTGCAGCCTGAGCCCGGCCTGTGGGCACAGACAGGGCCTTTTCCTGCTCTTCCTGAAGCAGCACATCAGGCTCGGGGCCAGGTGGGCTGATGCACAGGTAGGATGTGCCAGAGTCGAGGGGGAGCCAATTCTTGGTGATGATTTGGAACCCTCCCTGGGGACAGAGGTCAGCCCCACACCAGTCCTATGGGTGGCACCTATGCCCGCGTACAGGACGCTCCTCCACTCCTCCACCCCCAACCCCACCCAGCCACAGTCACAAGCACCAAATTCCAAACAAAGAGACCCAGCTCACAGCTCTAAAACATGGGGGCAGCTTCCAGCTGCAGCGGGGCAGGGAGGACAGGGTCAGAACGCAAGAGACCTGCAACTCAGACCTACAGCTTCCCAGACTCCCGAGGAAGGGCCCGTTCTCCTCAGCCGTCCCCAGCTCCCTGCCAACCATGCAAGCACAAGCTTGGGACACCCACCCCAACACACACGAACGTGAGAGATGTAACAAGAAGAGCGGCCACAGAATGAGCCAGTGGGAAGGTGGGGAAGTGGAGAGGCCACGTCACAACCAACGTGGTTAGTGCCACGTAAGAGCCTCAGGACTGTGGGCACAGACAGGACCCCTCCACCTCGCAGCTGATGCTTGCTCCCTGACCCCCGAGGACCTGCGACCTCGGTAAGTCAGTTCAGTGGCATGGGAGGCAGGCTGGCTGGGCCAGTCCCTCACCTGTTCAAACTTCCAGCCGTCAGACATGGTGGACACCATCTGCGTGAGCTCTTCCTCCTGACACTGCAGCACGCGGTACACATGCTTCACGGGCACCTGCAACAGCGGCTGCAGTGAGACCACCCCATGCCCGGGCCTGCCCGCACAGCCCCGATCACCCAGAACCACCTGGAGCTGCCCACAGGGGCCTGTGACAGCTGCTGTCCACTCGCCCCTCCTGCTTACCACACTTTCCTATTCTTAAAATCCCCAAGTTAAACGGCTCATCTTCCTGTAGTCCCAAGAGCAACTGTGACTGGGTACAGACACGTGCAGTCCAGGGGCCCGGAAAGGCTGTAACAGGAACCCAGGCAGGACAAGCCCATCACAGCACAGCAGCACCCCCTCCGACCTCAGATGCAGGCCGCCTGAGCACCACGCGTGTGGTAGCAGGTCCTGGGCCCCTATGTTCGGGCTGCAACTTCCCAGAGGCAAGGTTACCCTGACTGCCCACCTCCATTTACAGTGGGGAAACTGCTGCAGGCAGGGGCGGCCCAGCTCAGGCCTCGTGCCTGTGACCGAGGTGGCTGGGATGGAGGCAAACTGGCTGTCTCACCAAGAACACCGTGGATGTGTCTTCTGCCCACATGGGAGGGGCAGGATGAGGGGCCTCCCTAGCTTCCCTAGTGGCTGAACCCCCAGCGAGGCCTGGCCTGACACCAGGAGAGGGCTGTCAGGCACCAGGAGAGAGGGAGGGGTGTGAGAAGACCTGAAGGGGCTTAACCCGCTGGAGCGCCCAGCTGTGCCAGCACAGGGTGACCAGGACCCCCTGTGGAAGGTGCCAACCCTGGCCAAGACCCACTGCTGACCAGGGCACAGGACCTTAGGGTGCCTGTGCAGCACCCTTTGGCTGGCCTGCCTCCTGCCCCTACAGCAGGTCTCACACACCTGATCCAGTGGCCTGGAATGGCTCCCTTCAGGCCTCCCATTGCCTTTGCCTGCACAGTGTTGTCTGGACCCGCTGCAGTGGGGATCCCTGGGGGCAGCCTGAAGGGCTGGGTGGGCTCCAAGGAGGAACCCAGGCACTGGGCTGAGACGGGGAGTCCCTTGGCTGGGCCACACTGACATACCACCAAGCCTAGGCACCTTCTGCCACATTAGTCACCCATCTCACCTGTGATGTTTTGCTGTCTCGTTCTCTAATTTTATCCTTTACAAGTTTTATTAGTGAGGTGATATTGTAAAATTCTGCTTCCTCCAATACTCCTGGAATAGAGAAACTGTGATGTTTATCACGCCAATTGAGGTTAAGTAAGCACTTTGCACCTGCGTCCCCCTCTCTCCCCACTCAACTGCAACTCAGGCAAGTGGGGTGTTGACACAGAAACAGGGACAGCCCTCCAATGACCTGCTCCCATGGGACCTGCACTTCTCTGCCACTGCCTGGAGGCCCGCCAGGTGCCAGGGACTTCTGCTGGGCCCCAGCAGGTGCCTGCAGCACTGGCTGGAGGAGTGTGAAGGAGGCCTAGCCCGGTGGGCCTTGTGTGTGGTCTGACTCATGGTACCCAATGGAAGATGGGGCTGAGGGATTGCCCGCTGCTGGGGCCCTCCGGAAGCCATGCCACAGGCAGGGGCACTAAGCCTCCTGAGCTTTGGGACTCCTAGGGCCATGCTTCAGGGTCCTTCTGTGCACCTTCAGCCCCAGGGAAGCTGTGTCTGAAAGACGACTGCACCAGGTACCTGACCGCTTGGCCGTGCCGGGCAGCATGGTGTCCAAGGCTTCAACCCTGCACACAGGCCAGAGAGCACATCCCCCTCCAGCCCCTGCCACGACTGGTTGAGGGTGGTGGGTGGTGTGGGGCACAGGGGCCTGGTTTGTACCTGGTGATTGTTTTTAAGTGTAACAGGCTACTCTGGGTGGGGAAGATGCTGCTGCAAGGCGGGAGTCTCCTCAGGGCACAGGGCAGAGCCCACGCATCCACCTCTGAGAGCTGGGACCCAGAGCTTGAGGGAAGGAGGGCAGGTGCCAAGGCTGGCCCAGACAGAGCTGTCGGAGGCCCTCTGCACAGAGGTGTCCAGACCTCAGGGTCATCTTGTGCCCAGGTAGTACGCGGGCACCACCAGGGCGCTGCGATGGAGGATACAGCTACAGTGATAGGGTGCAGGCGCCCATACCCCTGGGGTCCCAGCTAGGTCAGCCAAGTGACTAGGAAAGTGGGCGAGTTCATGGGGGAAGCCCCATCAATGCCAGCGTCTTTTGCAAGAGGGAGACCATGAAGCAGCCCCAGCCAGGATTGTGGTGATGGTCAAATCTTGGCAAGAGGCCTGCAGGTCCTGCTGCCAGCAGCTTGTGGAACAGTCCTGAAGCCCTGCCCACACCTCCACACTCACCTTCCTCGGCGAGGTCCTTGTTGATGACTAGCTTCCCATGCCTCAGGTAGTTCAGCACAGGCCCAAAGTAGGTGGGATCTCTGTCGATCAAGTAGGCACCTGTTTCATCCTGCAAAGAATTCAACACCCTCAGTGCAGGACAGGACACCGCAGGCCCCTCAGTTGCAGCTCCGGGTCCGCACAGGCAATCCGGTCCAGGACCAACCCAGTTCTGTGTTTCAGAACTGCCCTGACTGATGGTATATAGGGTACTCTCCTCACAGCTTAGGAAACTTCCAAGAAAACCCGTAAGGGGCCTAACACAGAGCCTCCCTGGGCCTTAGGGTGGGGCTGCTGCCTGGGGGGGACACACACCTCACAAGCTAGGGCCGAACTGCTCGCCTGGGCTGGGATGACAGTGGAACTCTGGCGGGACCTGTCCAACAGCTGTACACGATGCGGTCCAGGTGTTGCAGCCTGGATGCTGGGGTCTAGGATGTCACAGACCCAGCAGTCTTTAGGTGTGCCTCAGCATCCACTCCTCCCTGTCTCAATCCATGGCCACCACAGCTGCTGTCTGTGGAAGGGGCTGCCCTGCAGGGGATGTGGGTGGGGGGAGTTACATAGCACAGGAGACTGGGGCTCACCCCAAATTCTCAGGAGGCCCCCTGACTGGCTCTACACCTGTTAAGGCTCAAGCTGACAGAGCCTGGGCCTTCTGTACAACCTGCTCACGTGAGGGCCTGAGGCAGACCCCCGGGGTGGGCCCTGGGCACCAAGGGAAGGAAGTGGCTGACCGCAGCAGGGCTGGACGCAGTGTTCCTGATCACAACAGGGAAGCAGCCTGTCCGCACTGCCAGGACCCTGGCTTTTGTTCGCGACATTCAAGGCTGCCTTTGGACAGTGAGACCAACTGGCTTCAAGGGTTTCCAGAGTTCTCTCCACAGAGCTATCAAGTCCTGCCTTAAGATCTCAAACCAAAGTCCACGCCACCACGGTAGGCTGCTGGCACCAACACCCCCAGGACAGAGTCCCCACCCCAGCCCACTCTGCTCCCAAGGGAACCCGTAGGGGCCCTGCCCTGCTCCCAGCCCTTTGGATTCCCAGGCCACCTTCTGGACGAGTCCTGACCTACTGCTCAAAAAGCCAGTCTCCATGCTGCTCCCCTTGCCCCACACAGCACCCAAGTGCAGCAGGAAGCCAGCACACCTCCCCCTTGGCCTGCATCACATGCATGTGGCCACACACAACTGCTTTTCCATAGATCACAGGGAATGTCAGGGAGGCCACGACGAAGGGTCGGAGCCCTGAGGAGTTAACCCAGCTCTTAGCTGCAGGCAGGCTGTTCCCCAGTGGTCCCGCGCACCTGCAGCACATCCCAGGGAAGAAAGGAAGAACCTTGGCCTTGACCACAAGCCAGACTCCTACTGGGCACTGGATTCAACTGCAGAGGAGCCCACTTGTTGGGTACCTGGTCTCCCAGCCCTCAGCAGCCCTGGCAGGTCCGGGACAGGACACGCCAGAGGCTGTCTATATAACTTCTCATCAGTGTGCTGACGCTCAAAGGGAGACCCTGGCCACTGTGCAGTTCCCTCATGGTGGCCTGACCTCTGCCAGCTTTCTGTCAGCCCCTGGGCAGGAGTTTCCCCAGACGGACAGACCCACTACCTAAGCCTGGCAAAGTGACAGGACAGTGCAGGTAGGAGGTGCAGTGTGGCGTGGTGTGGGCAGTGCAGGGTAACGCGGGTAGCGGTCCCAGCAGCCAGGGAGCCTGCAGTGCAGGCACCTCATGGGAACTTGCACCTGAGATGCAGCCTCTCAGAGCTTCTAGAAAGAAACCAAGTAAGTTGGACACTTAGCTGACCCTCTTGGGAGCCAGGGCAGAGTGGGAAGAACAACTCAGCCCTCATGTCTCTGCTGGCATCATGCGAATGACAGGCCCAGACCAGGACCCCCGGCAGCTGAGGCAAGAGCAGCTGCCCACACTGCCACAAGGCAGCCTGAGTGAGGTAGCAAACCTGGCTGGGCTGGCGTCCAGGCCCACTCCTGGCCGTGCACAGGCCAAAGGGCCACACTCCTCTTCCTGGGTACTCCATGAAGGGGGTGCACTCAGTCGTGGACAGCTGCACCCTTGCAGTCCAGCTTCCTGCCTGCGCACCCCTGGGGTTGGAGGGGACGCTCGAGTGCTGGGCTCGCAGTGACAACCGGGAGGCCCACCACTGCGATCTGGGCTCCTGCCTCACTCAGCACAGCTGCTGCAGGAATCCACCGGGCAGACCAGTCACGCAAGAGTCCGCTCTCCAATCACACTCAGGGAAATGGAAATAGATCCGAAGGGGGAGGAAGGCACACCGCCCAGCCACAGCACTGGACAGAGGGAACCAGCAGGGGGTCGGGCAGCATCCCAGCTGGACCAGGCTCTCAGCTCTCCTTGGACGGCCTCCCACAGTTCCTGGCTCTCTCTCGAGTCTGTAGGCCTCTCTCCCAGGGAGCTGCCCAGTACACGCCTTCAGAGGCCCGAGTGGGGCGGGCCACGTCACGCTGACAGCTCCTGAGCCAATGACCGGTAGATGAGGACACAGAGCAGGACACACCTCACCCGATGTTCCCTCTGCGAGGTCTACTCCATCAGATGGGCTTCATGACAAAACCAGGCTGCGCGGGGTCCTCCACGGGCAGCCCGGGGTCCTCACTGCAGCTTCCTCCTACCGTGTGCCTGGGCAGGCAGTGGGGGCCTGCGATCAGGGCGGGGGACTTAGAACGACCTCTGCCATGCCCCAGCAGTCGGTCCACAGGGGCTCACTCAGTCTTGCTGCCTCTTAAACTGGACAATCTAGGCAGTGGCAAAGTGGCATAGCAAGCAAAGCTGCCACTTACAATGGATGCTGGTTGGAGTCCTGGCTGCCCTGCTTCCAGTCCAGCTCCCTGCCAAGGGCCTGAGTCCTTGGGCACTCAAGTGGGAAGTCGGGATGGAATTCACTGCTGTACCCGGAACTCGATGTGGCTGCTGCAGCCGTGTACACAGACAACCAACAGATGGATGATGTCTCTGTCACTTGCCTTTCAAATCAATAATGTTTTCAAAAAAATGAGATTAAAAAAAAAAAAAGCCAAATAGGCGTGGGTAGTGGAAGACCTGAGTGTAGCTCCAGGCCTCTGTCTGGGACGTGGAGGGCACTGCTTAAGTGACCAGTATGGGGAGATTTCTCTCCCTCTCTCTGCCTTCCAAATAAAATGAAAATAAATGTAAATTTACAAAAACGCATGCTTGTTTTCAGGGCAGAGCAGCAGCCTGGAGGTCTTGCGCAGGACGTGCTGGGGTCCCCAGGATGCTGCACACTCCTGACCACGTCTTGCGCCTTCAGTGCTGTGTGGCCCCGCACCCCTGGGCAGGCACCCACCTGCAGACGGTGACCGACACAGCAGCGGGGCCTTGACACTCCAGGGGTCTCACGCCAACAGGAAAGCTGCCAGAGGAGTCTCCTGGGCTGCTGAGCACACTGCCACTAGTGGCACTTGCTCTAGGACCCGGGCCACGCAGGACAATGGCACGGTCCATACCTGGCAGGCGGCCCCGCGGGGGCCTCCTCCTCTCCACTGTCCCTCCAGTGAGTGACGTAACAAGCACGTGCTGTATCTGCAGACTGGACCGTGTGGGAGCCACCTGCTCTCTCCTGGCCTGCCTTCCCCGCTCCTCGCGCTGCCATCTGACCTACTTGTGGTGCTGCTGACTTGGAAAACACCCTTTTCAGGCCCAGCGCAGTAGCCTAGTGGCTAAAGACCTTGCCTTGCACACACTAGGCACCAGTTCTAACCTTGGCAGCCTCACTATCCATCCAGATCCCTGCCGGTGCCCTGGAAAGCAGTCGAGGACGGCCCAGAGCCTTGGGACCCTGCACCCACGTGGGAGACCCGGAAGGGGCTCCTGGATTCGGATCAGCTCAGCTCAGGCTGTTGCGGCCATTTGGGAAGTGAATCCTGGAACGAAGACTCCTTCTCTGTCTCTCCTCCTCTCTATACATCTGCCTTTCCAATAAATAACAAATCTTAAAAAACAAAACAAAACCTCTCCTCAAAGGCACAAGAAAGGGATTCCCTGAGCTCGCTCTTGAGTGTGTCAGCCACACGAGCCTCCCAGGGCAGCATGGCACGGCCATGTGCCCTCTCCCCACGAGTTCACAGCAGTGCTCGGAGAGGTGGGAGCTTGGCCACACGTGCAGCTCGCCCCACAGCTGTGGGGCTGCCCATCACCCAGGGCCAGACCCCATGGCACAACCAGGCACTCGGGCAGATGGACGCTGCCAGGCCACAGGCTTCGCGGGCACCTGTCCACGGCTCCTCAGTGGGTTCAGCTTTCCTCCAGGCTCAAGGTCAAGCTCGGCCAGACACAGCAGGCAGTGGCTCCCTGGGCCCAGGATGCCTGCTGAGTAGATGCTCTAAGCACTCCACGCCAACCCCGAGGCTGCTGCTGCAGCAGAGGTGTGTCACACGTCACAGTGAGGCCTCCGCCAGGCCACCTACTGGGGAGCCTTCCGCGGCAGGGCAGCGGGCTCCGGCCACCTGTGCAGGCTGCAGCTGCATGGCAGGGGGCATCAGTCTGCTGCACTTCTCAGGTAACTTCCTCCCTGGGGACACCAGAGGCACAGAAACCCAGTCAACTCGCCCTTCCTGAACATGCTGGCAGCCCCTTGAAGGAAGGGGAAGCAGAGGCAGTCAAGGCCTGGGAACTGGGGAGAGTGTGAAGGGACAACCACTGTAATGTCGGGGCACCTATTGTGCCACACCCGATACCGTCGGGCCAAGGGCCCAGGTGCCAGAGCTCTGTGAGATAATGTGTCACCAGCCACACATAGCACAGCCCAGGAGGAGAAGGCCTGGACACTCCCTGCCACAGGACCACGGGGCCAGAGGGCACTCACCCTTTTTCTTACCTGTCACAACCACTGCACTGGGGCACTGTCTTCACTTTAGCAGCAAAAGCCCAGGGAGGTCCAGACACTCACCCCGGGTCACACAGCAGCAGAGGGACAGGTTGCAGCCCCAAGTCTAATCTGCTCTGGGAACCCAGAATGGAATGTCTCAAGTCCTCTGCGACTCATTTTCCCAAAAATGTTCTGGGGGACCCTCGTGCAGAACAAAGGCAGCCATGCCCACAAGCCCTCGGCCAGTGCAGGCCCAGGAAGACCGGCCTGGTGTTCCGGGGCGGACAGACCTGTCCCCTCGGGCCGGCACCTGTCCAAGGTCCTGTGTCTGACTTCCTCCCAGAAGCGCCCACTTTATCACAAAGTAAACCTGGCCCAGGTCTCAAGGTCTTCAAGATGACCATGGGCTCCCCGAGAACTGGTGCCACAGCCAACCAGGGCTAAGGCACCACTAAGAGCCACCATCCCGGCACTGCAGACACAGAGTGTGAACTGCCCTTCCCAGCTCAGGAGCCACCTCCCCCAGCCAGGTCGCCTATAAAATCCCACTCAAAATCTGCAGGGGCCCGGGCGGGGACAGCCCTGCTCCATGGGTGTAGGCCCAGAGCCCCCCTTCCCCAGCTTTCCGAGACCTGGCTCAGGCACAGACGAACCCTTGCCAGGCAAGCAGCGGCATCTGCCACCAGTGCCCCACCATAGCAAGGACAGTGACGCAGGTACAAGCTGCTCAGCTCCCTGGATGCCCACCGACAATGCCAGGATGCACAGCGCACGGTCTTGCCTTGGGAAGGCCACCCTAGGCAGCACAGGCCCGGAGCTGCCCTGCAGACAAAAGCAGCAGGGCGAGGGCTGCTGGCAGGTCCCAAGCTGGTCTGAAGCCGGGGGTAGGCCCAGGCCGTGTGGCTCAGCCCTCTTACGGCCCATGATGGCATCAGGGAAGCTCCAGGAGGTATGAGTGTTCACGAGCCCAATGCTTGGAGAGCTTGCTACTTGAATCAACAACATCCTGTTTGTGTCCCCATCAGCTGCTAATGGCCTCCTACTGCTGACACTTGCCCTCCTCAGCAGTGCTCACTCAGGAGTTAATTACCTGGACAGTCTCCTGGGAGACACATTCAGGGCGAGGCAGCTCACCCATCCCCTCCCTGAAGATGCGCTAGGCACACACCCAGCGATCAGCTCTGCTTTCTGGCAACTTCCCCGGGTGGAAAACCAACCCCGTGTCCTACTGACAGAGACCACAGCTCGGAGACCAGAGCTGGTGCAGTGGACAGCGGTCACCAACAGACACAGCCAGGCGGACTAGCTGTGCACCCTCCCCCAAGGAGTCCTATTCCTGTGAAGCCCGCTTTTTAAGGCAGGTTTGAGACAGTAAAATGGACGGAGCTGACACTGTTCAAGTGTGCAATACTGTAAAATCCGACTGAACTTGCACAACAGGGACGCTGGAGCAGAAAGGCCAGCGAGTGCCAATGAAAGGCTACTGTTTAAACCCACAGCAAAACACACCCCACGCTCTCACAGGAAAATCACAGCTAACAAAAGTTTATTTCTGTCCCGCAGCAGGCTATCATTTTCTGGGAGGTCACTCCACTGAGGACGAGGGCGGGGGCCGCGCTGGGCTCCTGACCACACGGCGTCGGGCTCAGGCACCGAGACCACCCCGCCAGGCTAGCAGCAGACGCGGCCCCTCCCGGCGAGACCCCGCACCAATCCCAGAAACGGGGGCACTGACCAGGAGAAGCGCAGCTCGGGGACACACGCACAGCAACCCCTTCCCGGCCCTCTCTGCGGCCCCAGCCCTGACCCGGAGCGGGGTTCCGGGTGGAGAGTCCGCCTCACGCCGCCGTCACCTCGCTAAATGCAAGTCACGGGGGCCGGCGGGGGCCTCCCGGGCAGCCCGAGGGCTCCGGGCTGGGGGCTCGCCCCCAAGACCGCGGGCGGGACGAGGGGAGCCCCGCCGCGCAGCGCCTCCGGCCCAGCCCCGCACGACGCTCCCGCCCGGGCCTCACCTTGTCCGAGTCCAGGTCCGGGTCGGCCTGGCACAGGCGGTACAGGAAGGACTTGGGGTCCCGGCACAGCGTCTGTCGAGTGGTGAGGAAATAGGTGCCGCCCACGTTGAGCCGGACCCACTTGGACACACAGCTGGGGCGCTGGGCCAGGGCGCCGAGCCCCGCGCTGCAGCGGCGGCACAGGCCGCCCCCCAGCCCCGCCCCGAGGCCGCCCGGGGCCGGCGGCAGCAGCTCACAGTGGTTCTCCGCCATGATCCCAGCAAGCCCCGCCGCAGCGCACGGCGCCGGAAGCGTACCCTCTTTAATACCGTCCTCCGCGCTCCGCCCCGCCTACCGGTCCACCTTCCTAAAGCGCTCGCCTCAGCGTCACGCGGGAGGCGGAAGTTCCGGGCCGGAGAAGCGGTCCGCCCCCCTCCTCCCGCCAGAAGAGCCAGGCCAGCCAGTCTCCACGCTACATGCTTTTATTACAAGACTACTGAGCATAGACGAAAATTCATCATCCAGTAACTACATCTACAGCACAAATATCTGAAAGAGGATACACAGATTCATTAAATTATGATTAAATCATCGACCAAATAGAAAAGTTATATAATAAAGCGAGAAACAAAAGTTGTAAAATATAGTTTACAATAATTATTCACATTCAAGGCTGTACATCAATACATACAACAACGTGGCCCCGAACATGAATTCAATCCAAATAATTCATATATTAGAATTTAAATAACACAGGGTGAACTAGAGGCCAGGGGCCAGCAAATAACCTTATATAAGAATAAAAATACAAAAGTGTAAATCCTAATATCATTGCATTATTTGTTTCCATACTTTTTAAAAACTTCTGCTTTGCCTGTACATCACAGTTACGGCTACAGATCGGGAAGAGTTAGGCGTCTCGCTGCCACTGACCAGACTGTGCCCAGGATCCACCCTGGCGGCTGTTGTTGGAGAGCCGCCACAGCCGCTCCAAGAAGTCACGATTCGATTCAGCCAACGTCCCATCGAGGTACGGTCCCAGGAGAAGCTGCTCACCAGCAGGATGACCTATTTCACGTCCACTGGGCCACAGGTTACAACAGTGTGGAGTTAAATGACTAAAAATGGTTCGCCTCTTGCAACAAAGGTGTCTGTATGCGTTTGGGTTTCTTCACTTTGAAGGAAAGTCAGGGGGAAAACTCAGCATCTAGGGAGGCCCATTCTGCTCCATGCCATGCAACCTGCTGGCACTGCCTCCTCCAGACCAGCACATGTACGCCCGGGCCGTGTCACCTAGGAGGTGGGCGAGGGTATGAGCATGGCACCTGGATGCTCCCTCAGAAACAGACACTTTTAGTCAATCAGTTCATGTGGCACCTTCTCCATCCCACTCTCACAGCTGCCACCCACTTGACGGCGAGCAAGCACTTGGGCTCTGTGGACCAGTGTGAACAGGGGCAGACCCAATGCTGCAAAATCAGACAGCATTGAGACTGGTGCCCTCACAGCATCTCCTGGCAACGCTTGCCCTCCGAATCCAGCGCCTCACCCAGCGCAGAGACCACAGCCAAACTGAGGTGGCTGGACTTGAAGTGACGAGGCAGCATGAGAAGGCCCTCTCTCCACACCAGCCCGGAGCCATACCACCGTGCAATCCTGGGATCTGCCCTTGGCAGGGTTTCCGGCGGGGCCTTTGCCCTGCTGACGGTTCTGAACGGCCCCATGCATTTTCCGACCGTTAAGCAATGGCCAGGTCAGTTCAACGCCTGCTCTCTCTGCGGACTGTGCGGATGCAAACGCAGTACCGTTGTAGACACAAGGACAGGGTCTGAGACCCCACCAAGCACGGGAAGCCTAGCAGCAGATGGGAGAACAGCACGCAAGCACAGCCAGATCCTCACACTGCAAACAGGAAAACGCTGCAGTGCATCCACCGCGACGATGTCACCTTAGCGTTAGGAAAAAGAGCGGTTGTATCGAGACATTCTTTGGAACACAATGCGGTGGGAACCTGCAGTACACAACTAAGGGGTTCTGTTCCTGAACTCTGGGCGTCTAAGCGTCCGAGGAGAGAGCAGCATCTTGGAAATGAACAAACTCTTTGACCCAAATCTACCACTTCTAGGCACCTACGGGGGAGAAAACCAGAGTTACAAATCAAGGATTTATAAGGACACTCGTCACAGCATTATTTCAACAGCGAGAAACTCAGAGCTTCACAGAGGGAAACGGTCAGTGGTCAGGGTGACACCGATGACCATCAGGCACCACACTAAGAGTGTGTTTGGAGAACGGTTCACGGCATGGGAAGATAAAACACCAGTGAGAAAAGGTGGACGCAAAGGGCACACGTGCGCGCTCACAACTGTGTATGGAGGTGGGGAGGGGCAGGCTGCAGACCCAGTGTTCACACGAGTCTCCCCTGGGTGGGCAGCCTACAGTGGATTTAAATAATGACATGTTACTTTTAAGGAGGTACAGGGCAGCCTGTGTACTGATGGGCACCGTTTCCACAAATACCACAGAGCACGGAGGGGGACAAGCAGGGGTCACCCTCAGCCACAGTGTCTCTCCTAACAGGCCTCCAGCACACTGGTCACACACAGGGCCCTCTTGCAGGCGGAGTGGCTCAGTGCTCCACAGCAACGAAACAGCTCTCAAACGTGGCTTCCGTGTCCCCCGAGGGCAGGGCACAGTGGGCTCTGAGAGCCCCTACCGCATGGTCTGCGCTGAGAGGCCAGGAGAGTGTGTCCTTGCCAGCTCTCGGCAAGCCCGGGCTCCAGGAACTATCAGAGTACAGCGCCCTGCTCTCCCCACTTGGACTGACCCACGACTGCACTTCCACCTAGCTGTGCCTGCACACTCGGTGTCAGGCACCTGCATGCCAGCAAAGGTCCAGAGGATGGCTGAAGAAAACCAAAGTGGATGTGAGTAACGGTGGGAAAGAAAACATATATGGATCTGGACCAGGGAGGTTCTGAGGAAAAGGTGACCCCGAGGTCAGCCGGCGCTCGGCCCTGAATGCCGACACTGTGGTTTCCGAGGCGAAGCTCAGGAGGTAGTGGGGCCGCCAGGGGGCAGAGTGCTGCCAGATCTCCCCAGGAGCCTGCCGGGCGTGCCTGTGAGTGCACCGGCCATGGAGGCACTGCCCACTTCCTTGGAACCAGGAGCCCATTTGCACCAGGGGGAGGTGACTTCCTGTACCTGTGGGTGTCACTTGCACACAGACACAGGGCATTCTGAGAAGGAAAAACCACAACAGGGACATGAGCCTGAACGGAAATTCCTGAAACGGCCATGTGAGGCTCACCTGACACAGGAGAGCCTTCCCAAAAGCTGGGGGAGTGGGGTGGCTTCCAAGCCGCAGACCAGGGCCTGTACTGAGCCCTGGGCCTGGGGACACACAGCTCCCACAGAGTGGATAAGGCCCAGGCAGAAACTACTGGAACAATCTGGGGATACCTCTGCTCCCACCACACCCCTCCATGGCACTCACCCCCAATTTGTATAAAGCTACCCTTGGTCAAACAGCTTGAGAAAAAAAAAAAAATCTTTCCTCTCAATTTGGGCCCAACAGACAGGAGGTGGGAGACAGGGGGACCCTGCGGATGCCACTGTGGAAGTCTCATTCCCGGGGGCCCCAGGGGCCCGCACTTCTGGGAGCTGCTGCCTGGGAGGGCTGGGTACCTTCTCTCTCCCAGCAAACCAATGCTGCCCTCCAGGCACCTGGACAGACCTCCAGGACTGAGGCGTGTGCAGCCCATCCCAAGCTGTCCCAGCACCAAAGCCCCCACGGGGATGGCCCTGAAGCTGGCAGGGGATGCCAGGCTGGGCGAACCCTGGTGCAGGGCGCTGCTGCTGCCTCCTGTGCAAACACTTCATTCTTATGGGGCCAGACGGCCTGGCAACACAAGCAGGCTTCCACATTTTCCAAGTGGAGACGTAACCACAGCGTTAGTTCTGAGAAATGTTTAACCACAATGAGAACAGGATGCGCAGGCTGCTGTGTGCCTGTACCCCCAGGAGCCGTCTGCAGAAGACAGAAGCAACCTGGGCCAAGGCAGGACCCTCTCTCAGCCCCCCACATCCAGTGCAGGAGGCCCGCACCCTCCCAGAGATCCCAGGAAGGACCAGAGCCTCACCCCTGCACACGGACACTGTGCCGTTTCCTCTCACTGAACCCAGTGCAGCAGCACCTGTTGGTCTCACCCAGGCTGGGGGAAGAATGACACCTCCTGTGCAATGACCCAGCTGGACAATGAGCAGGCCGCCTGGGACAGTACCCTTCCCAGGCAGGCTCGAGGCTCATGGGCACTGCAGGCCACCACCCCCTGTAGCAGCCTGCCTGCTGACAGACAGCAGGGGCCATCAGAACTATGCCGGGGCCAGGATGGGGGCCCAGCAACATCTCTAGGGTCAAACACGAGGGACCCAAGAAACAGCACACGCACAAAAGCAGAGAGCCCTGTGGCCCAAGGAGGGTTGCCAGCCAACCAGCAGAGGCACGCAGCTGCTCCCAGGTGAGGGGTTCCGTGATGACTGGGGTGGGTGCAGCTCAGAGAACCAAGGACACATCTGTGCCCTCAGCCCCAGCAGAACAGCCTGGGGTCGGCGCGGGGAGGGGTGCGATGCGTGTTCTGACTGCGCTAGGAGAAGCCGGAGATGCTGGTCTGCTCACTAATCTGGCACGCGGAGCCTCCAGGCGCACAGAGCAAGCAGAGCGACCCTGAATTCCTTCTTGTTATGGATTTTGTTCTTTGTGTGGTTGGGTATTTTTTTTTCTTTTCTTTTAAATAAAAAAGCTGCAAGGTTTGCGCCGTCTGTGTTCCCCTTGAGATGGCTGGCAGGTGGTCTGACAGCGTCCTGTGGGGCGGCCGAGCCGCGCTGGGGCACGTGTCCTGGCAGCCAAGGGCAGCCCGGCCGCAGGGCTGTCACTGCACGGCGGCATCAGGGTGGCTCTGGTACCGCTGCCTCCACACCTCCTGGATCTTCCGGCACCACTTATGCGCGTTACCGCTCGGGTCCATCAGGTAGTACGTCCTGTTGGGCTGCAATGAGAGAGCCAGCGGCCTCAGCAAGTCCCTCCCCTCCCCCCACCGTGTGTCCCCACCTGGCCACCATGGGAAGCCCAGTCCTGCTGCCAGTCACTGCAACCTTCAGGCGTTTCCCAGCTCCCCCCAGGTTTGCTGGGATGTGGCAAAGGGCAGACATCGGCTGGAGCCCAGCTGCCCCTTACCCAAGCACAGGGATAAACACAGCAGGGGCACCTGCCTCACCTGCATCCTTGGGCGCCGACTTACTGTGTGCACAAAGAAGGTTTTGAAATTCTTGGCCTCCGGGCGGAGTTCCTGTGACCATGGGATTTCACCTTTCAGGACTTTGTTGACGGGATCCACGTAATATAAATGTGGCCCTTCTGTGAGCAGTAACTGTCTTCGTCGTGCAAATAAACCCTGATATGAAGGAAAGATGCTGCTCAGAAGGCTGCAGAGTGGGGCTGCCAGCGTCTGTCCCCGACTCACTGGCCAGGCACAGGGTCAAGCAGGCCAGAAGCCAAGGTCTAGATGCAACTATATCAGCTAGCTGACATGTTCTAACAGGTATCCCACAAAAGCAAACTGTGTGTGTTTTAAAGCACTTGTAATGACATTTTAGACCACTTGCTGTAACAAAGTGGCAGGAACTGTCTAAGCAGCTGCACGCACAGACTCCATCGGCCAGACTGCTGGTTCAGCCAAGAGGCTGCACACCCCTGTGTCTGGTTAGGCCTCTTTGGCTACTGGCTCTGGAGAGCAAGGACATCATGTCCAGCAAGTGCCGCCTCAGTGTGGGCGTGGGCACAACGTGCAGGATGACAGCTCCCGCTGCCAGGGAAGGGGCAGGGATCCAACTCACCTTTCGCTTATCCACTGGCCCCATTTTTAGTATTAAATTATTTTCTACAAACTGGTGCCTAGGAAAAGAAAGCAAGAGTCAGTGACACCAGTGCCCCGCAGCTCGCCTGGGCACCCCGCTTCCTGCAGAGCTTCTCATCCACACTGCAGGGGAGGTGCAGGGAGCGGGCAGCATGCACCCCCTAGCCAGGGCCCACTGGCGGCTGGAAGCCACACTCCCTGCCACAGCCGAGCTGGCCTGGCTCCCACAGCAGGAATGTGGAAGAGCAGGCTGCCAGCACAGATCTGCAGACAGTCCTGACACTGACCCTCAGCCTGAGAGGCTCTGCAAGCTCTTCTGTTACCAGTTCATGACCTCACCAGACTGGAAATTCCCGATCTGAGCTTCTACTCCCAAACCTGTGTCTGACATCTGAGAAGGCTCGAGAGGCAACGTGGCTCCCGCAGGTCCCTGGGCACAGCCCTCACCAAAGGACCCGCCCTGCTGGTGGAACCTGGCTGTCCTCTGAACTCAGCCACCCGAGGCTTCATCGCCCAGGGCCAAGATTCTGAACAAGGGAAACCCTGTGATCCAATTCACCCTTGCTGGGCACTGCACATACATGTGCACTCACCACCCATGTGACTTTCAACAAGGAGAAACACAAGATTTTTAAAGGAGATATAAATGAGGATGGACATGTGGCCTCCCCAAGCAGAGGACCTGGGTTCAACCCCCCAGCTCTAGCACCTGACTCCCACTCTCTGGTACTGCCGACTGGGAGGGCTGGGCACAAGCTCAGCAGTGGCTCAGCTGGCAGAACCAGGTCCATGCGCCAAACCCAACCCCAGCAGCCCAGCGTCTGCACTGTGCACTCAGGCCTGGCCTTGAGAACACAAGAGGATGGTCCTGACACCCATGAGGGAGAGCCAGCTCTCAGCTTTCACCCTTCTGGCCCTTGCAGGCGTTCAGGGGTGATCTGGAGGAAGAGCAAGTATGGGGGCAAAACAGCCGAGAACAGCATGCTCTCTGCTCTCAAATAAATGAGTTTGTAAGAACTTAGTTTTTTTAAGGAAAGCACACAAAGCACATAGACCCATGAGCACGACCCCCGGAGCCCGGTCTAATCGTGGCTCTTGGCTCATAGACAGCCAGTGGCAAGTAAGGAAGTAAATAAATACAAACCAACCGAGGGAAGACTTGGAAGGCCTCGTCCAGACGGCTGTCCACACAGGGGACAAAGGGCCACCCTGAGCACAGGCCAGCTCAGCCAGGCAAGTTCACCAGGCAGAGCAGAGAGGAGGCTTCTTGGTATTGTTACCTGCGCTGTTTGAGACATTAGCTCCAATGAAATACTGCTCAATCTGCAAGGGAGGTTCTTCTGGGACAAGGGCACAGGCTCTAAACAGAGGGATACTCAGAGCGCAACCGAGAGCACTGGCTGAAGAGCCTGTGGAAAAAGCAGCCAAAGGGCCGGCCCTAGACTGCAGAGAGCGCAGACAAGGGCCACACAGGCTGAGGCTCAGGGAGACTGAGAGAAACACGGTCCAAAGAAGAAATGGCTGGCGCAAAGGAAGCTCAGTGCAACAGCTCCTGACAACAGCTCCCTGGGCCCGCCGAGCCAAGGGCTAAGTGCTGCACAGCAGTGCTCCCAACAGGCCCAGGGTTGAGAGGAGGCCTGACCAACACAGTGACTGGGCAATCTGCCCCAAGGAGCCAGGCCAGGTAACGGCACCTTCACAGCACCCAGTCCTGCTCGCCAGTGCCCCAGTGGCTGAAGCAGAGAGGCCGAGATCAAGGAGGCGCCAAGCTCCAGGACTGCAGTCATTTGGGGCCGTTTGCTTGGTAATTAACCCATTCACTTACAGCTTACTGCTGGTTATTGATCAACTCTGAAACAGCTACCTACTTAACACACTTACGTTCAAACAATTTCCACTCTTAAAAAAAAATGTTCCACTCTGGCTTGGCTCCCCACTTCTGCTTAGTAAAAGACTCAAGAGACCCAACTCGTGTGCCGGCGTGGACAGGACTTACCCGGTGCCTGGCCCAACCCAGCACCTCTGCAGCAATGCCCTGCAGACAGGGACGCTGGGCAAAGGGCCCGTGAGTCACCCCAAGGATGATGACGCACACTCCCTTTTCCTACCTGCAATGCCATGGTTCTTTCCTCCTGAATCTTACTCCACTGATAGAAAAGACATTTGCAAAGCTCGATGACCCAGGGGCAGGATACAGCTTGCATCAGGGAAGGTCCCAACCACCAGAGGGCAGTGTGACATTCACCTGCAGCTTTTGAACCTGCAGCAGGGCTGCCAGCCTGGGTGGCACGGGCCAATGCCCATTCTGCAGCACCAGCTGCAGGACTTCATAGAAATGCCCAAAGCACTTTCCTCCCTCTCTGTCACATCAACTGATGTACACTCCATGGAAGCGCCATCCAAGACCGTTCCCGGTACTGAATTCCTTAGGAAACAGCGGGGTCAGCATCTGGCACAGCGGCTCAGACACTGCCTGGGGCGAGTGCGACGCCTGCAGTGCAGGGATCTCAGTCCCGGCTCCACTGCAACAAGTGGCGCCTCCAGGCCTCGGGCTTCCGGCTACCCAGGTGAGAGACTCGGACTGGGTTCCAGCTCCTGCTCTGGCCTGGTCTAGCCTCGGCTGTCGGCAGGCATGTGGACAGTGAACCTGCGGAGCTCTGTTTCTGTTCCTGTCTTTCAAATAAACAAAACTGAGAGATAAAAACTCAGACCCATTACTTTAAGTACAAATAACAGTCTTATAAGAAAACACGAGGTTCCAGAGAGAAACATCTACCAGGCATGTCCCAGCTGCTCCACTTCCCATCCAGTTCCCTGCTTGTAGCCTGCGTGTGAAAGCCCATCCTCTAAAAACCTTGGGGAACCTGCTCCCACATGAGAGACCTACAAGTCCCTGGCTACTGGCTTCTGATTGGCTCAGCTCTAGCCACTATGCCTACCTGGGGAGTGGATCTGCCTTTTCAATAAAAATAAATCTTGGGCCTGGCATGATAGCCTAGTGGCTAAAGTCCTCACCTTGCACACATCAGGATCCCATATAGGCTCTGGTTCTCATCCCAGCGGCCCTGCTTTCCTTCCACCTCCCTGCCTGTGTCCTGGGAAAGCAGTCAAGGACGGCCCAAAGCCTTGGGACCCTGCACCCGCGGTGGAGATCCAGAGGAAGTTCCTGGTTTCAGATCGGCTCAGCTCTGGTCATTGCAGCTACTTACAGAGTGAATCAGCGGCACTCTGTAAGATCTTCCTCTCTGTCTCTCCTCCTTTCTGTATATCTGACTTTGCAATAAAAATAAATAAATCTTAAAAAAGACCCACCAGACAGCAGTTTTTGAGAATGTTTAAGAGCTGACTGTGAAGTAAACCTACAGCGGGTATTGGCTTCCTGTTGCAGAGAAAACCCCAGGATTTTAAGGTAATGACTGACAAGATGATATAAAGTCACAGAAACTACAGCAGGTCTGAGAACTTTGGGGCTTACAACAATACCAAGATCTCACGAATCCCTAGATTTTCATGTATTTATATCATAAATCTACTTCAGAAAATTCCAGAAAAGACAAGGCACACCCAACCAGATGTGAAAATGACAGAACCCATGTGGCATAAGAATCTCCTCATGCACCGGAGGAGTAAGGAGAAGGCAGGCAGCAACATCTCAGGACAGCCAGACGCTGCTGGACCCAGGGTCCCTGTGCACACCCCACAGTCACTGCGCTGAGGGACAGACGCTGCTGGACCCAGGGTCCTTGTGCAATCCCCAACAGTCACTGCGCTGAGGGACAGACGCTGCTGGACCCAGGGTCCCTGTGCACACCCCACAGTCACTGCGCTGAGGGACAGATGCTGCTGGACTCAGGGTCCCTGTGCACACCCCACAGTCACTGCGCTGAGGGACAGACGCTGCTGGACTCAGGGTCCCTGTGCACACCCCACAGTCACTGCGCTGAGGGACAGACGCTGCTGGACCCAGGGTCCCTGTGCACACCCCACAGTCACTGCGCTGAGGGACAGACGCTGCTGGACCCAGGGTCCCTGTGCACACCCCACAGTCACTGTGCTGAGGGACAGAAGACACGGGCTGCCACATCGGCCTGCAAGGGTGTCTTGTTGAGGGCATCCCGTGTCCTCGCCAGGTGCAGGGCATGGGCCTGACGAGCACTCCGCTAAAAGCTCAGGGCAGAGGCGGCAGGGCCCTGTGATGAGCTGCTGCCCGACCGTGTCAACGCAGCCTGCAACTACGCACAGTATACTCCAAAATTCTGTTCATGTCAAAATTCTTTCCTTCCACTCAGTACAAATTCACTTCAGGGTACAGTGAGTTCAGGGATAGATGTAAATTCCCAGAAAAGTAGATTAAAAAAAAAAAAGACTGATCTAATTATTTATTTGAAAGGCAGACTTAGAAAAACACCTTCCATTCACTGGTTTAATCCGCAAACGGCCATGATGGCTGGAGCTGGAGAGCCAAGAGCCAGGAGCTTCTTCATGGTCTCCCACATGGGAAGCCCTTGGGGCATGCTCTGTGACCTTCTCAAGTTCATTAGCAGGGAGCTGGGTTGGAACTGGAGCAGCCAGGACTCAACTCTGCGCCCATGAGAAATGTTGCTGTACCACAAAGCTGGCTTCCAGAATTATAAATATTGAACTGTTACCTACACGTAACTTTTCCTCCCGATTGCTCAGGGATCCATGGCTAACAGCTGACCCCTCCCCGCTGAAGTCCTCTAGGCCATGCATGCCCTCCCTCCTGCCTTTTCCCACCCAGCAGGCCTGCACGTCTGCCAGGAGCACTGCTCGGCTCTGCACATGGAAGGTAAGCGTGACTCACACGAAGAAGCTTCATGCAGAAAGGGCTTCTCCCTCCCTGGGCTGGGCATTAGAGGGTGTCAGCATCTGCAACTAACACACCATCCCCAGACTAAACACACACTAAAGCAAACATCTGCCAAGGGCTTCCCCATATACATCTGTGCCTTAAGATGCAAAACAGGGGTGGGCCTTAGGTGTGGCAGCTGAGATGGCATTTAGAATGCCTGCCCCCCATCAGAGAACCTGCTTCAAGCCCTGGCTCCCAATGCCAGCTGCCTGCAGAGGCACACCTGGACAGCAGCAGGCACTCGCAGAAATTACCACAAAGGAGACCAGACTGAGTGCTGCTCTGGGATCCTGGTTTCACCCTGACCCAGGCACGGCTGCTGCAAGAATTTAGGGGAAATTAGGAGCTGAAAGGTGGGTGGGGGAGGGGTTAGGGCATGTGTCTGTCTGTTTTTCTATGCCTCTCAAGTAGCTGATTAAATGTCAAAATGTGAGGACTGCTGCTTCGGACGCCCACACCTGTCCTGGGAACGCCTGGGACAGTGCATAGTTCCCGGCTGCTGCATGGGCCAACCCCGGCTGCTGTAGACAGTATGGGAGTGAACCAATAGATGCAAGATCTCTATCTCTGTCACTCAGTCATCCAAATAAATAAAAGTAAATAAAAATAAAAATTCACAAGGAACTGAAGAAGGCAGGACCACTGAGAAGCACAAGCTCCCTGCACTGCTGGTCCAGATCATCAGATGTCCTACAGAATCCACACTGACACTGGCCATGCCTAGGACAGGGGGAAGCTGACATGAAGATGAGGATGGCGGGTCCAGTGCCATGGCACACCAGGCCAGAACTCCTCCACAGCGCCAGCATCCCATACAGGTGCCGGTTTGTTTCCTACTGTTCCACTTCCCATCCAGCTCCCTGCTTACGGCCTGGGAAAGCAAAAGAAGATGGTTCAAGTCCTTGGGTCCTGGCACCCATGTGACAGACCTGGAAGAAGCTCCTGGCTCCTGGTTCTGGATAGGCTCAGCTCTGGTCATTGCAGCCATTTGGGGAGTAAACCAACAGATGGAAGACTGATTCTCTCTCTCTACTCTATTGAAGGGTTTTTTACATTCATGCTGTCCCTGTCTCTGCTGCCCTCATTGACCATCCTTGACCTTCAGGTCCTTCCTTCTGCGATGCATTTCCTCCCTTAACTGATTCAAGACTAAGCTGTAGAATGAAGACTGTAGCTGGAATGTGTTACTGATTGCTACGATATTGAGAACTTCCTGACCCAGGCTCAGGATGGAGAACATCCTGCTTTAAGGTGAAACAAATGGCAGAATTACCCTTGGAAACACCTATTTGACCTTGACGTAAAAAGTCTGTGCCGGAGTTTGTGACTGTTTCTGTATAAATGAAGCGGACAGCTTTCTCGCACGGTCCATTACGATCCTGGAATCGTAGTGGTCTGTTTTATTTTCTCTACACCTACTCCACGCACCCTTCTCGAGTTCCGAACTCGGCTGGAGCGGGGCCTGGGCACATGGAGGCTGTCCACACCCCTCTGCCCTGCTCTGTTCCCTCTGGAGCACTGGAGGCGTGAGCAAGGTTCCACCGCAGTGCCATCCTGGGCCACCATGCCCTAGCCCACACCTTCCTAAAGGAGGACCTTACCAGGGGTTTCCACCGGCCTGCTTCTCCAGTAACAACCTCTTCTCATCTTCAGAAAACTGTAAGTCCAGTTCAAAAGAATTAGTGTCCAAATCGTGGATGTACTGCTCTATGTTGCTGCCGGAGCTCGGGGTCAGGCCGGCGTCTGTGGCAGACAAGGAGTGGGAGGAGGACGAGGCTGACACCTGCATGCAGCCAAACTGGCTCAGGAGGTTATCGTACTGCAGGAGAGAGCAGAAAGCGTTTTACTCACCTCCCCAGGTCTCTCTCACACACACTCCACACCCAGGAGAGCCCACCCACCCACACACACATACTCACACACCCAGGAGAGCCCCCTCCCCCCACCTCTCCCACAGCAAGGGAAGTAGTGTTATTTCTCCTGCAAAGGCCAGGGCAGCTCTGATGCTGTTCCCCTAGACAGCTGGCCACAGAACTGAGGCAGTCTTTCCCCATAGGAACAGGGGTAAGCAAAGGGTGAACGTCCAGTCTTCATTTCCAAGAGGGGCCCTAGGACCCTCACGCAACGTGACCCCAACAGGTCCCCAGAGACCAGACCTGCCAGGGAGAGAGGCGACCAGTGCACGTGCAGCATTTCCATGGAGGGGCATGACGGCAGCTGGGCCAAGTGTTCTGTGGGATCCTAACCCTGGCGTCAGTAATGACGCTCTAATTCAGTGCTGGTGGTCAACTCTGAAAATGAGTATTCTTCTAATTTCAGCAAAGACTAGACACGATACACACACAAAGGTTGCCAGGAGAAAACTGGGAAAGAGTTTCAGTAACAGCACAATCACTTGGTGAGGCCAGGTAAGTCCCACGGCTGTGATTCAGTTCCCTGCTGACACTTTGCTCCTGAGAAAGCAGCGCAAAATGGCACAAGTGCTTGAGCTCCCGACGCTCACATTAACCTGAGCCACCGTGGCTACTGGGCAATGAACTAGCCAACAGATCTGTCTTCCGACTCTCCTTCTCTGTGTTAACTCTTTCAAGTAAAAATAAAGAAATCTTAAACAAATAAACACTGGCTTGAGGTCATGCTTCACATGCATCAGGGCCTCGCAGGGCTGCCCCACCCCCTTCCTCCAAAGACGCCCAGTTCTGCCAGAGCCACTGCTCACGTGCTCAAAGGCCATGCAGGATGAGCGCCTGAGAGAGACCTAGACTGAGGCAAGGTCCCTTCCCCAACCACAACTGCGACATCAGGACATGTGGGGACACGGGGGAACCTGCTTGCCTCACGCCCAGGTCAGGCGGAGATGCTTCCTGTTGTGGGGACATGGCCAACACCTCCCACACCGGCAGACACTGTTCACGGTGTCATCTTCTGCCTGCCTCACTGTCTGTGACATCAGCTCCACAGAGCTCTCAGGCAGCACTTCTCAAGGCTGAGCACAAACCAACTCACTGCAAGCCAGTGAACCAAGAGGTAACGCCTCCAGACACACAGGGCAGCCAGCACTGGGCGGAGAGGGCAGCAAGCGCTCACTGCCTCCTCCAGACAAATGCCCAGTCCCTGAGCTACCAAGCACTACAGCCCCTGGACACCTTCAGAACTCAGCTGCCCCACACCAGTGACCAGTAACAGGGTATGGGACCTAACGACTAAAATGCCAGTTGCCAGTCCGTGACACTGGCACAGGGCAGGCAGACCTGGTGCGGTGGGGTGGGCTCTGCAGTTGGCACAGGGCAGGCAGACCTGGTGCGGTGGGCTTTGTGGGAGCCACCGGCTACGGCAGCTGGCACAGGGCAGGCAGACCTGGTGGGGTGGGCTTTGTGGGACCCACCGGCTGCGGCAGCTGGCACAGGGCAGGCAGACCTGGTGGGGTGGGCTTTGTGGGACTCACCGGCTGCGGCAGCTGGCACAGGGCAGGCAGACCTGGTGGGGTGGGCTTTGTGGGACCCATTGCCTGTGGCAGCTGGCACAGGGCAAGCAGACCTGGTATGGTGGGCTCTGTGGGATCCACTGGCTGCGGCAGCTGATCCCCAAGAACAGCATCCCATGGAGCATCAAGAGGGCCGCAGGCAGGAGAGTGGGGTGCAGTGGGAGAACAAGGGGGCCAAAGACGCTCTCCAAGCCTGGCTCCCTGAGTCTGAACAGAAAGGGCATTTCAGGAGAGGAGAAGGATGGCTGAGAAGACTGTGACTCTGCCATACAGTTAGTTACGCCACTGCATGCAGCACCAGCATTCCCTAGGGGCACTGGTTCATGTCCCGGCTGCTCCACTTCCCATCCAGCTTCCTGCTAACGTGCCTGGGAGGGACGTGCTTGGGTCCCTACACCCACATGGGGGACCCAGAGGAAGCTCCTGGCTCCTGGTTTCAGCCTGGCCCAGCCCTGGTCATTGCAGCCAGTTGGGAAGTAAACCAGCAGGTGCAAAATCTCTTTCCTGAGCACGCATTCATGCATGCTCAATCTGTAACTATTCCTTTTCGAATAAATAAAAAAATGAGGTGGGGAGGAGGTGGAGGCTGTGCCAGACAGCAGGCAGAAAACATAGGAACCTTCTCTCTGCAAGAGCTAAAACCAGTAGCACTTGTAATCTGGCTGTGGTTGATTTTTAGATGCAATCTAGAATTTTGTCCACTGCACTGAAGTTCACACATTGTCCCTGGCTGGAATGTCACGAGTACAGGAGTTCACTCAGAAACTCAGTAACACCGACAGCACACAACTTTTAGTGTGTCTGTTTGGACTGGTGGGAGGGGAGGGAAACCAGAGAGAAAAATTCATCCAACCAAAGGTCCCCTGCAGACCACTGACTGTGGCAGCCAAGCGCTCCACCAGCCACAGGCCTAGCTCATTCCTCTAACAGACGCTGGGCCTGCAGGGCAGGAGCCTCAGCTGCCATGCCGGGCCACACCAAAATCACTTACGTTGCCATAGCAGTCCTCGTCGTCCTCAGACATGGCCGGAAGGTAGGCGGTCAACTTCGGGGGTGTCTGCTGATGCAGGTTCTCCCATGTGATGGACTCAAAGAAGGGATGAGCTCTGAGAGGGCCGTACCCGTCCATCTCCTCACAGCCTAACCGCTTTGTGGCATCTAAAACCTTAAGTCATAGTCACGGTAAGTCACTAGCAGGTCCACGGCCATCCTCACGCCCAGCCTGGGGCTCCCCCACCTCTCTCTCCTCTCCATCCTTCCTTCCTACAGGTGCATTCAAATGCAATCACAGGATACAGTGAACAGCAAGTCAAGCTGGAACTTGGCCCAGTACCCATCTGGAATGCGAGTGTCATAGGTGGCACCTTGTGCTGCACCATGATGCCAGTCAACTGTTTAAAGTATTGACTCTATCAGGGCTGGTGATGCAGAGCAGCAGGCAGCTTCCACCTCCAACACAAGCACCTTACATGGGCAACAACTGTCTCATTTCCAATCCAGCCAATAAGCCTGGGAGAGCAAAGATGACCCAAGTGGGCCCTCAGACCCATGCGGGAGATCCAGAGGAAGCTCTGGGTTCCAATCTGACCCAGGACGACCACTGCACTTATTTGGGGAATGAATCAATGGATAGAAGAGCTCTCTATCTCATTGTGTCTCCCCTTCTCTCTCTGTTACCTGTGCCTTTCAAATAAATCTTGAAAAAAAAAAAGAAAGAAAGAAAGGAAGAAAGAAAGACCAACACACGGCTCAGCACGTAAATCAGTATTTCCAGCGCAGCATGCTGGCTCACGTCCCAGCTCCTGGTGACACAACCCCAGCACATGGGGTTCTGCCGCCACGGCAGTGACTAAGACGAAGGTCCAGGCTCCTGAGGAGTGAGCCAATGGATGCAAGACCTCTCTGTCTCTCCCTCTGTCACTTTACATTCTAACAAATAAATAAATATTTATAAAGAAAATCTGGGGCCCAGCAGCGTGGCCTAGAGGATAAAGTCCTCGCCTTGAACGCACCGGAATCCCATATGGGCGCCGGTTCTAATCCCGGCAGCTCCACTTCCCATCCAGCTCCCTGCTTGTGGCCTGGGAAAGCAGTCGAGGACAGCCCAAAGCTTTGGGACCCTGTACCCGCATGGGAGACCCAGAAGAGGTTCCTGGTTCCCGGCTTTGGATTGGCGCAGCACCGGCCTTTGCGCTAACTTGGGGAGTGAATCATCGGATGGAAGATCTTCCTCTCTGTTTCTCCTCTCTCTGTATATCTGACTTTCCAATAAAAATAAATAAATCTTCAAAAAAAGAAAAGAGAAAAAAATCTGACACAAACAGACTTGGGTTCACAGCCCCTGGACTCTCCCATCAGTAACTCCAGATGCTGAAGAGCAAACGAGACAATAACTTGCATCTTATCATTTGTGTCAGGGAGGGAAGGGGAGCAGGAGGAAGGGAATATCATTATATTCTCTGCCTTTCAAATTAAAAAAATCCAAAAAAAAATTTTTTTGCATCTACAAACTACACTGAATCTGCTGGAAACTAAAACTAATTTTTTTTCTTTAATAAAGTCAAGGCTGTTGGAGAAAGGAACTAAGAATCAGAGAGAATGAGCAGAGCCTGCGCCTCACCCCCGCCGCCCGGCAGAAGCACAGAAACATTTACCAGGAGCTTTTCCACAAGGTCCCTTGCCTTAGGGAAGAATTTGTCTGGAAAGTCATATTCCAACTTAATGATCTTCTGGAATATAAGATACTCATTCCTGTGGGATGCAAAGAGAGACGAGCAGCAGTCATTCCCAGCAAGGTGCACACACTTCCCCATGCTGACAGCACTCGCCCTGGAGCCCAGTGCCAGTCAGACAGAGGTGACCGGAGTCACTGGACACAGCCCTTGCTCCGCCCCGACCACGACTCCACCAGGGAGGCACAGACAGTATGGCGGTGGGCAGTGCACGCGAGGGGCTCGGAAGCTCAGGGGTGCCATCTCCTTACCCGGCTCGGAACGGTGGTAATCCTGCCACAAGCTGGTATATTATGCATCCTAGAGCCCAAAGGTCTGAACTTTAAGGTGTGGAAAAGAACAGAAAAAAGCATTGGTAACATTGAAGCAGCAAGTTCAGCTCAAGTTCCATCTGTCTGCACCCCGCTCTGCTGAGGCCAGCAGAGGACACCGCCCTCCTTGGGAGGCCTCCCCGAGACCCACGCTGCTCAGCAGCTGGCCTGCAAAGCCATGAAAACTTCCATGAAGGGAGAGAGCTGAGCTGCTGCGCATTGGGCACGGGTCAGTTGTTACAGGCAAGGCCAACTTCAGTTTCAGAGGAAAACCTGACTCGACAGCACCCTCCCTGTGTGTGGAGGTGCTGAGGTCAGCAGGAGGGCTTGCCCCAGTCAGCAGCAAGTCAGGACAGCTCAGACCCAGTCGCTGCGCACGTCTAAGCGTGTAAAGGCACAGTCGCCCAAGGGCAGGGCTTTGCACACCCTGTGCCTCCTCTGAACATTCCCATTAAGTACTGCAGAAATAAAATAGTACAGGCATCGATTTCTTCTTATTATTTTTTAAGATTCATTAGCTTTCATTTGAAAGGCAGAATAACAGAGAAGAAAGACAGAGAGAGAATTTTCCATCCGCTGGTTCACTCTCCAAATAGCCGCAAAGGCTGGGGTTGTTCAGTGTGAAACCAGGACCCAGCAGCCTTCTCCAGGCCTCTCACACGTGGGTGCAAGGGTTCCAGGTACTTGGCCATTCTCTGCTGCTTTCCCAGGCCATCAGCAGGAGATGGCTCAGAAGCAGAGCAGGCAAGTCTCGAACCAGCACCCATACAGGACGCAGGTGCACAGGCAGAGGTCTAAGATGTTGTTCCACAGTGCTAGTCCCTAGCCATCAATTTCTGTCAGTTGTTTTCTGAGAACATGGCCAACTGTAGACCCTGGCCCCCGTCCTGAGCTCTGCCCTTCACATCTGCTCTCACTCCACCTCCTAGCCTTCATTCTCACAGCCAGGCTCAAAGCCCTGCTGCATGGGCAGCAGCTTGACAGGCATGTCTGGGGTCTAGCTTTCTCGTCTATTCCTGGCCCCTCCCTCTAAGCACCAGGGTTTATGCAGGGCTCAGGGGCTGCCAACACAGGTTCTGGAGGATGAAATAATAAGGTGTGGTGAAAACCATCCCTCGAAACAACAGACCAGCACAGTACGAGGCTCCTGGGGGAAGTCTATGTCCTGGTACTGCAGATCACCAGCACCCACAAGGCCTGGCACAGCCAAGGCACTGGAGGTAGATTTCAAACTATAATCGCTTACGGGCAGGTTCTGTGCGGCAGGTCACCAGCCTCCTGCATCAGAGCACTTGGCGCATGTGCCCCAGTAGACCCCACTGCTAATCTAGCTTCCTGCTAATGCTTCCTGGCAGGCAGCCGGTGATCTGAGCAGGGACTGCACTGTAAGCAGAGCTCTACCACGGGTGCCATGCAGAGCCCTGGGAACAGGCACAAGCTGGGTCAGCCCTTCAAATGCAGAGGGACTCACCGCAGCCAGGCTGCGACACCCAGCCTGGTAGCACAGAGGCCCTGCCACATGCGGGAACAGGAGCGCCACGCAGAGCCCAGCAGCAAGGAACACATCAGACACAACAACCTCAGCACGGCAGCGCTGTGGCGCTGTGTGGAAAGCCAACGCAGATGCAGCGCTAGCATGATTTCCAACTGCTCTACTTTCAATCTGGCTTCCTGTCAATGTGTCTGAGCAGGCGCTCGGCCCCTGCCTCCTCAGGTGAGACCTGGATGGAGCTCCAGTTTTTGCCTTCAGCCAGGACCAGGTCCAAAACCGCCCACTGTGGCCTTCTGGGGAGTGAACCAGCAGATGGAAACAGCTCGTTCTTCCTCTCCTCCTATCACTCTGCCTTTCAAATGAATAAAATAAATCTTAAAAAAGAAAATCACGCAGCTGATAATTTCAATCATATGGGAAAAGGTTCACGATAATGATCTCAATGGTCAGAAATTGGCCATCCAGGATGACACTAACAGCTAAGAACTACTGTAAAATACAGAAAATGGAAGGGACAAATTGACCAGACATACATATAGCAAACTTTTTTAAGTACTGAATGATCTGGGAGATTTATTTTCCAAGAATATTTTTCAGAGACCCGGCGTGATAGACTCCTAGCTAAAGTCCTCTCCTTGCATGCGCCAGGATCCCATATGGTGCTGGTTCATGTCCCAGCTGTTCCACTTCCCACCCAGCTCCCTGCTTAGGGCCTTGGAAAGCAGTCAAGAACAACTCAAAGCCTTAGGACCATTATTCACCTACGTGGGAGACACAGAGGAAGCTCCTTAAGATCGGCTCAGCTGCAGCCACCGCAGCACTTGGGGAGTGACCCACCAGACGGAAGATCTTCCTCTCTTTTCCCTCCTCTCTGTATATCTCACTTTCCAATAAAAATAAATAAATCTTAAAAAAAAGAAGGAAATCTTTTTAAGGTTTATTTTACAGACAGAAAAGAAGAAAACAGAGAGAAAAGGCAAGAGGAAAGAGTGAAGGAGGAATGGGGAGGTGGAGGGGGGGGGAGAGAGAGAGAGAGAGAGAGAGAGAGAGAGAGAATGAATCTTCTATTTGCTGATTCACTTCCCACTTGACCACAATGGCCAACGCTGGGCCACTTCGCACCCAGCTCTCTTTGCACAGCCCACATGGGTCGCAGGGTCCAAACACTTGACTTGGGGTATCGTTCTTTGTTGTTTTTTTTAAAAATTATTTTATTTTTATTTATTGGAAAGGCAGGTATATAGAGAGGAGGAAAGATAGAAAGATCTTCTGTCCGCTAGTTCACTCCCCAAGCAGCCTCAATGGCTGGAGCCGATCCGAAGCCGGGAGCATGGGGCCTCTTCCGGGTCTCCCACACAGGTGCAGGGTCCCAAGGCTTAGGGCCGTCCTCGACTGCTTTCCCAGGCCACAAGCAGGGAGCTGGATAGGAAGTGCAGCAGCCAGGATACAAACTGGCACCGAATCCTGGCAGATGCAAGGCAAGGAGTTAGCCACTGGGCTGTCACAATGCACCCAGGCCATCTACTCTTGCTTCTTCCAGGCCACCACTATAGAGCTGGGAGCTGATATGAACCTACACCCATTAGGATCCTGGCGCTTCACAAGAGAATTAGCCAGCTAAGCCATTGCACTGGGCCCTAAATAAACATTTGTAAAAACCAAAGCAGCCTGGAGACTGCATCGCCCCAGGGTGCTGCTCACCCTTCCTTCGGGTCTTGTCGTAAGATTTCTGTCCAGGGCTCCCTAAACCTACAATTTTATTTATTTATTTATTTTTGAAGTTGTCAACCTTAGAAATCCCTGCACTCCGTCATTTATTCTCTCAGAGTGGCTCCTGTCATTTAAGGTCACACCCTGGGACCTCCCACAGCCAGACATGGACAGTACCGCACTACCAACTCAGGTGAGGGATCAGTGTGCCAGGAAGCAGTCTTTGCCTGGCATGGCGTGCAAGGAACCCCAGCCATCCTTCCTGCCATAAGCCCTGCCATCCTGGAGGTACTTCCCACACAGGAAGTCAGAGCCACAGAGAGAGGGAGAGACAGAGACCTCTCATCTGTCATTCACAACCTCCCACCTCAACCCTCCCCGTGACTAGGCCAGGCAGAAGTTAGGAACTTGCACCGGGGTCTCCCACATGGACGGCCAACACTTGGGCCATCGTGTACTGCTTCCTGAGACACACCACTAAGAAGCTGGATCCAAAGCTGAGCAGGAAAGACAATAACTGGCACCCAAATGGGAATGCTGGCATTGCAGGTCGCAACTTTACCCTTTAGGCCATGACACCCCAGCTCCCCACACTTCTGAATTCCACATTCTAATACCACCTCTTGGTCCCACGCAGCACAGGGCCTTGTGCTCTCCCTGTAAATGGCCAGCAGCTGTGCGAGCATCCTTCCTCTGAGGCTCAGCTGCCCTGTGGAGAGATGCTCCCCCTACCGACTAGCACTTTCACAGCTTACCAGGAGAACACCTGCCCCGCCTCCTGCCCCGGCCCAGCACTGGAAGCCTCAGAGAGCACCACTTGCAACTTCCTCCACCTACCCTTGGCTGCCCCTCCCACAGCTCCCCAGCCGGTGACAGAGGGGTCCCGAGTGCTATGGACACGGTGGACATCCCCCCTGCCCCACCTGGCAGGGCAGATTTCCTGAAGATCAGGATCAAACCAGTAACCAAAAAGCAACCACCAACCCAGGAAGTGTAAACTACATAACAAGCATGAGTCAGGGAAAACAGTGGTGGGAAGTAGAATGCTAACTTCCTGCAAAGCATGCTGGGACAATTTACAGCCTGAGGTACTCTGTCAAAAGCTTCCTAGCCACAGGAGGAAGAAGTTGAGGGCAGACTGAAGCTGGTTACCTCTTACAGGCTGATTTCTCCGTGAGCAGCTCTGGAGAAACATACTGCGCCGTTCCTACGAACGAGTTGGCCCTGGCTGGGAAGAGGGAGAAACAGAAGGTCATGCTCAGAGATGCCTCCAGGGACCATCAGGGACCAGCAGAGCAGCCCCAGCACGGCTTATCCCACAGACAGCGTGGCCTCAACTGGGTGGACCAGACCTCCCTGGCAGCACAGCCTGGTTACCCATGGTGGAATGGCAGAGTGCCTGCGGGTTTGCCTCCAAGGCCCTCCACTCACGGACATCTGCTGGTCCTAGAATACTGTGCCCCTCCTTCCTGGCCCTTCCCGCCTGTTACATGCCTACAAAACAGCTCATCTTACTCACCCATCATTGCAGGCAGTAGCCCCACAAGAATGGGGCACCCAAAGGACAGAGACATGTCTATTCTACCAGTAAGAACTGAGCTGCTGGGCCTGGCACAGTAGCCTAGCAGCTAAAGTCCTCGCCTTGAACATGTTGGGATCCCATATGAATGCCGGTTCTAATCCTGGCAGCTCCACTTCCCATCCAGCTCCCTGCTTGTGGCCTGGGAAAGCAGTGGAGGACAGCCCTAAGCCTTGGGACCCTGCACCCGTGTGGGAGACCCAGAAGAGGCCCCAAGCTCCCGGCTTCGGATCAGCTCAGCTCCAGCCATTGAAGCCGCTTGGGGAGTGAACCAATGGACAGAAGATCTTCCTCTCTGTCTTTCCTCCGCTCTATATATCTGCCTTTCCAATTAAAAAATTTAATAAAATCTTAAAAAAAAAGTGTTGTTTTTTAAAAAAAAGAACTGAGTTGCTAAAACACACAGCAGACAAGTCATAGTCACGCAGGGACAGCCCTCAGGAACTAAGGGCCCACAGAAGGAGCAAGACTCAGGCTCTGCCGCCTCTGGTCCTGGTACCTGCGACACAGGATGCACAACTCCCTGCACACACAAGACTGAACCCCTCTTCGCTGGAGATGCTCGTGCTGCCAAGAACCAAGAGGTTCCCTCAGCTGCCAAATGGCTGACCGAGCAGCCTGGGGCACAGAAGGCCCAGACCTCAACACAGCAGTCACAGCGCCCTGGGCTGCCCGTTCCTTGTCCTGCGCCCAGGCCCGGGGAGGCTCACAGCCTTGGTCCCTTCAGTAAACCATTTTCATGCCAAGACCACGGCTGGGGCAGGCATTGTGGGTAGTGCACGTCAGCATTCCACATGGGTGCCAATTTGTCCCAGAACTCCACTTACAATCCAGCTCCCTGCAATTAGCATGGGAAAAGCAACAGAAGATGGTTAAGTGTTTGTGACCCTGCCACCCACTGGAGAGACCCAGATGAAGCTCCTGAGTCCTAAATCGGGCGTGGCCCAGGACTGGCTGTCATAGCCATGTGGGGAGTGAACCAAGGCTTGCAAGATCTCTGTCTCATCACTCCTCCCTCTCTGCAACCTAGACTTTCAAAATAAGTGAATTTAGAAACAAAATAAACAAAAAAACAAAAACATGGTATCATTTCTATCCCTGAATGATGTTACAAAAAAGAAAGAATTCTAAAATGGAAGAAATCATAGAGCCAAACACAATGAAAGCCATTCGACTACATAAAGAACCGAAGAGATGCAAATGAAAACCTGGTGCATCAAATCAGCAGAGAGAAAGTCAAGGGAATTCTCAGGGTCTGACTACGGAAGTGGGCATCGCTCTGACTCCTGGTAGCCCTTCTCCCAATGACGCTCCCCGCCAGCGCGCCTGGGCAAGCAGAAGAGCAAGCGCCGGAGCTTTGCCGGCTGCCGGCCACCTGGAGAATGGACAAGCAGACTGACAGACCTCTCCCTCCCTACCTCCCTTTCTATAATTTCTGCTTTCCAAGTAAGAAAATAAATCTTTAAAATGATAATAAAGGGACTGCCACGGTGGCCTAGCATCTAAAGTCCTCGCCCTACACGCGCCGGGTTTCCATATGGGCGCTGGTTATAATCCTGACGGCCCTGCTTCCCATCCAGCTCCCTGCCTGTGGTCTGGGAAAGCAGTTGAGGACGGCCCAAAGCCTTGGGATCCTGCACCCATGTGGGAGACCTGGAGGAGGCTCTTGGTTCTGGATTCCGGCTGCTTGGGGAGTGAATCAGTAGATGGGAGATCCTCCTCTTTATCTCTCCTCCTTTCTGTATACAGAGATCCCCGATGCAGGACCCTCGCCTGAGACAGCCCAGCCCCTGCCTTCAGCAGCAAAGGCCCCACACGCTCGGGAGTAGTGCACTCCCAAGGGGCTGGAAGCAGGCCCCAGTACACAGCTGAGCCCTCTCTGGGCTTAGAAACTCACATACCTTGCTTGCTCGCTGGAGACAACACCTTGGCTGTTCCAAAGTCTGTGATCTGTATGTGCATGTCTTCATTTAACAGGATGTTTTCTGGTTTAAGGTCCCTATAAAAGAATTCACATGGGAAGTGAAGTACTTAAAAGAGAGGCTTACCACACCCCTGGGCACTGCTGAATATGAGCAAACCAATGGGCAGGGCCAACCAGAAGCACAACCCCAAATTCACGGACAAAAAAGGACATGCAGGCGTGTGGACTACACACACCACTTTACAGACTCATACACAAAGGGTTTAGAAACACTTCTAATAGGGCTTTAACAGAAAATGAGACAGGAGAAGTACACAAAAAAGCTACAACTGACAAAATGACAAAAATGACACCTGGGCTGCCTGCTGTTCCAACACTTAAAGGTGAATTTCAACTCATCCAGAGCTGCCTGTCTCTGGTCTCTCCCTCTGCAGCTCCCATAGTGAGGTACCATCTGGTACCTCTCCCGCCTTGCACAGAGTCAGACATGGCAGACCCAGAGAGCCAACCCCAGCGATGGCATCAACTGAAGCAATGAGTCCTGAAGTCCTGCCCTGGTGACTGAAGTGACTTGCCAAGGCCGCCCGAGGCCAGTTACCTGTGGATGACGCCCTTGCCGTGCAGGTACTCCAGAGCACACACAATCTCAGCAGTGTAAAATCTTGTACAGGTCTCATCAAAAGAACCAATTTTGCGAATATATTTAAGTAGTTCTCCATTTTTGGCATAACTAAGGCCAAAATCTGATTACATAGTTAAGGAAGAGCATTTGTAAGCACTAGCCTTGACAGCCCAACAAAAAAAACTTTTTCCACCTCAATGCTAAGTGCATACTGTGGCCAAGGAAAGTAGGAGTCAGTTCCTGGTCCCTGGCTGTGCCAGCACTCCAGGCCAGCTCTGAGCCCTCGGGCCAGCATGGGGTGCCTTACCAGGAGCACCCTGACGCAGTCCCTGGAGAACACGGACAGCACTCTCAGCCTGGTAGCCACCCTGGACCACACCATCCCCAGAGGTATCAAGAGAGTTCCACTAGAGGCGCCCAGCAGGACCTGCAGCCTTGGTCACAGGTAAACACGCCTGTGCAGTCAAGTTCACAGCAGGCACACGTGTGCAGTAAGGGTACAACAGACTAACGTACACAGCCATCAAGGGTGTAAGACACGTAGCAGACACGTGTGGAGCCTGTAAGCACACACCAGGCACACGTGTGCAACTAGCAAGCACGTGGGCATGCGTGTGCAGCCAGCAAGCGCACAAGACACACAGACACACGTTTAGCCTGCAAGCACACGTCAAGTACATGTGTGTGCAGAACTATTAAGTGTAAAACGCATGTGCAATGAGTTTACAAGAAACACACAAGCAGCCAGCAAGAGTCCAGACACACATGTGAAGTGACAGCGGCCTCAGGAGAGCAGGCCGGGGTCTCCGACATCCAAGTGTCAGCACAGAGCTGGAGCTGCTGGCTAACCCTGTCTGAGGCTCTCCACAGCCTACCCCTGTGCCTCCTCCTTCTACAAATGCTCCTTTGTGCACAAGTGACACATTTCCTGAGAGACAAGCCCTTGTGTCAACTCCTCAGCTCCATCTGTAAGGCACTCGCTGAGGAGAGACACGGGACACGCCCTCTGCTGCCCAGGACCGCAGTGCTGTACCATTTCTATGACTTTTGCCAAGAGGATTGAAAACTCACAAGGATTAAAGCCCACGTAAGCGTCTCCCAGAAAGCATGTGTCTGGCAGCCATCCCCCCAGATTCCTAATCTTCCCTGGCAGTCTCCAACACAAGTCACTGCTGGCCTTGAGCAGAGCTGGGGCTCTGACTGACCTGCCCACTGATGCACCATCACCCCACAGCAAGGAAGGAGCTGAAGGCCTCAGACAATGAGGACCAACCCGGCAGGAGGACCACCAGGCCCTCTCACCTTGGACACAGTGTGATAACTGCTTCAGGAACCAGAACCATAAACAAAACACTCCTCAGAGAATGCAAAGGGTCTATGCTAGGCTCTCCTCATCGTACCCTGTCCCCACACCCATGGGCCTCTTCGTCCAATGCCTCATGATCATGATCACCTCAACGGCAAGGCCAGATGGGCAGTTCCACTGAGACGGCCAGAGCCTCACCAGGAGCCCAATCAGCCATGAAGTGGCATCCCCGATCTCACCTCACTAAGTCATGAGTGCATGCTCAGGGTTACTGTTCCAGCCTACTGCTCTCTCATCCCAGGCGAGCCCCTCATGTCTCTTCAGCCCACTGTGAGTTCTCAGCACACTTGCTACCTCTCCCGTAGCAACCAAGGTTCTGGGTCAGCGAGCATAAGGGCACACTGCTCTCTCCTGCAGGCCAGGAATTCCTGGGGGAGATGCCTACACAAGGCACTGACCCAGAAAGCCTAGCAACTGACCCCAGGTCACAAAGCAAAGGTGACAGGACCAGGCATAGCCTCCTGAGCCTAATGTGGCAATCCTGTCCCTCCCCGGCACTGGGAACATCACAAGGACAGCATGTGTACACTGGCTTGAGCGGAACCAACCAGCCGAACCACCACAGCTGACGGCTACCTCTGCCTTCCCCAGGGCTGGGGGAGGAGGGACCCAGCTGCTTAGGCTCTGAGTTGGATGCCTATTCTCAAGCTGCTGTGGCCATGTCCCTAGGCTCCAGCGCACTGCGCCTGTTTTGGGAGTTGCAGGTTTGCCTGTAAGCCCAAGAGCAGCAATAGGCAAATGAATGCTCCCCTCCTGCCTCAGTGACATGACAGCGCAATGGAGGACAGCATAACAGCCAGGCAATGCCTTCACGCAAAGTGTTTCCTTCCGCTTGCACCAGGAGTCTTGGGCCCATCCTTGTGGAGGTGAGTGCGCCCTCAGAACCCTGCAGTAGTTTGGACTTTGCAACAAGCTACTTAACAAAGACCCGAAGTCTCTCCACCTGTCACTCTGGGAGGACACGGAGCCGTGGGATTCTGCCACAGCCAACAGCAGCCAGCAAGCAGGGACAGGAAAGCAGGGGTCAGGACAGCCCAGGAGGAGAGACACACAACAGACACGCAGGGGCCCTGGCGGCTGCTTCATGAGCACTAGCACAGAGATGGAGATGAAGGAAAGGACCCAGATGGCACCAGAAGACAGTCGGCAGAGCCTGCTGCGAACCTGTCGAGGACGGCCCAAAGCCTTGGAACCCTGCACCCACATGGGAGACCCGGAAGAAGTTCCTGGATCCTGGCTTCAGATCAGCATAGCATCAGCCGTTGTGCTCACTTGGGGAGTGAATCATCGGACGGAATATCTTTCTCTCTGTCTCTCCTCCTCTCTATAAATCTTTGTAATAAAATAAATAAATCTTAAAAAAAAAAAAAAAGGAATGCCACAAGGGCTTGGTGTGAGGTCACGCGCATCCCTGCTGGAGCAGCAGTTTGGGGAGTCCTGGGGAGCACACAGAAGCGGCCACAGGGGGAGGGGGAGGCGGTGGCAGCAGCCCCAGGACCAGCAGACTGCTCAGGCTCCTGTGAGTCACTCCCGGGACCCTCCAATAGCAGCCAGACTCCTCCCTCAGGGCTGAGTGGGGCAGAAGGAGGGCTAGGATCGTTGTCCAGCTGCCCAGTGTGGTCCCCTTCTTACTTCAGGAGCCTCAGCCCTGCTCGCTGCCTCTGGGGACAGCAGCAACCCAAAGAGTCCCACAGACGCACGGGTGGGAGTCCAGCAAGAGGTCATGGCGCTGACCACACAAAGGATACAGAGCTTTTCGTCGTCCTGAAAAGTGAAGTAAAGCTTAACAAAGAAGGGGTGATCCAGGCGCGACATCACATCCCGCTCTCTGGTCACATATGGAACCTTGTTCTCTTTGATAATATGCCGCTTCTCCAGGATTTTAACTTAAGGTGAGAGAGAAGTGAGTTACTACAATCGAAAATGACAGAGTAAAAACAGCTCATAAAGGAAAGTGGTACCATTAAAGTTCTCCAAACACTGCACACATTGGCTCCTCGGTGTCAGAAACCAAGAGTGCCCTCAACCCTGATTCACCCCAGGGTGTTCCTGACGCGCGCCTACACACACACACACACACACACACACTGCCCAGGCTGCTCCTGACGCGCGCCTACACACACACACACACACACACACACACACACACACAGAGGCTGCTCCTGACGCGCGCCTACACACACACACACTGCCCAGGCTGTTCCTGACGCGCGCCTACACACACACACATACACTGCCCAGGCTGCTCCTGACACGCGCCTACACACACACACACACACACACACACTGCCCAGGCTGTTCCTGACGCGCGCCTACACACACACACACACACACACACACACACACACTGCCCAGGCTGTTCCTGACGCGCGCCTACACACACACACACACACACACACACACACAGCTTAGGCTGCTCCTGATGAGCGCCTACACAGACACACAGACACACACACAGACACACACACAGACACACACACACACACACACACACACACACACACACTCTGCTCAGGCAGCTCCTGACACTGACACACACACACACCGTCACCATCCACGGTTACTTGAGTCAGTACTTACTAGCATACTCTCTGGAAGTTGCCAGTTCTCGAGCCAGAACAACCTGGTTGCGGGGCAGGAGGGAGTTTGGTGGGGGGAGGGGAGGGGGAAAAAAGACATTGTAATAGCCATGCCACCCCAGTCTCCCAAGTACCTCTGTGACACCACGCAACCTCCCACCCCACCCAGTGTGCAGGCACATCAACAATTCCTGAAATCCGACGTGTGTGTTAATATACTCTCATATTATCAGCAGTTTCCTTTCTTCATCAGCTGCCAGTAGTTCTCACAATGCCATGAAAGCGTAAATTCAGGAACCCTGCAGACTGCCACAGCCATTGCAAGGAGCAGAACACGTGGCAAACAGCACCTACCGCGTGCACTGAGGATTTCTTTAAGACAGAACTTCAAGAACACATCCTTGAGTACATGGCCAGTGTATAAAGTGGTCCTGGCTTTAGGCCAATTGTTACCACACACTTCACTCACTGAAAAGCTCAAATACCATAAACAGCCACAGGAACTGCCCAGCAGCAGAAAGCCCTCCTGGAGTCCCGTCCCGAGGAGCCCAGCACCCTCCCTCAAGGCCCCCTTACTCCCTAACAGGCGCCCCCAGAGCCCTGGAGTCAGAGTCCCTTGGGGACAGAGTGCAGCCCAGCAGCGTTTCACATAAAAAGACCACTGTGCACAAGCAAGTGGCACCCTGAGCCGCCAGCCTGGAAGCAGCCCAGGCTCCCGGCCACACTCGGGCCACAGTGCAGGCAGCTCGCGCACAGGAGCCAGTGTAATCAAAGGTGTCTCAGAAGGCTCCTGCAAGAGGGCAGCACAGCCCAGGGGCAGAGGACACAGGCCCTGTGAAACCTTGGTCTGGGCCCAGCACAACGGCTTGGCGGCTAAATCCTCGCCTTGCACGTGCCACGATCCCATATGGGTGCTGGTTTGTGTCCTGGCTGCTCCACTTCCCATCCCTGCCGTGGCCTGGGAAAGCAGCGGAGGATGGCCCAAAGCTCTGGAAGCCTGCACCCTCAGAGGAGACCCAGAAGAAGCTCCTGGCTGCTGGCTCCAGATTGGCTCAGTTCCAGCTATTGCGGCCGCTTGGGGAATGAATCAGTGGACAGATCTTCCTCTCTGTCTCTCCTCCTCTCCGTATATCTGACTTTCCAATAAAATTAAATAAATCTTGAAAAAGTCCTACGGGTGAGTGTTGTAGCAGGAGAGGCGCACGTCACTCAGGAGGGTCCAGTGTGACCCCAGCTGACTCACTTCTGACTCAGCGGCACTGTGCGCCTGGGAAGCAGCAGGTGGCTCAAGCCCTTCGGCCCCTGCCACCCCGTAGAAGATGGCACTGCGGCTTCTGGCTCCTGGCTTCACCTCCCAGGACCTGCTGTCACAGCCATTTGGGGGAGTAAACATTTGGGGGAATTGAAGATTTCCCTGTCTTTCCCTCACCCTTTGCCACTCTGTCTTCCACATAAATCTTTTAATATTTCATAAAGGTAAAAAAGGCAAAGAATGCAACTTTCACACCTGCTTTCTGAACAAAAAATTGCTCAGCTGTTCTGGAACTCCCCATCCAGAGCAGCCAGCTCAGACCAGGGCAAGGACCAGCTCTTCCAGGGAGGCCAACTGGGGCTGCATCCTGAAGGCAGCAGGTGTCACAAGGCAGCCGCAGCCAGCATGGCTCTGTGTGCTCCTCTTAGCCAAGAAGCTGCTCCTCAAGCAGAAAACAATGCCAGACAGGGAACCCCAGGCATGTGACGTGACAGCTGTGCAGCGGGACAGAGTGTGCAGGCTACAAGGTGGGCCAACGCCCGGGGCAAAGGTCATTCCGTGTTCCCCAAGACCTGAGCAGGCACGTGCACACAGGGGCTTCCCAGGCCTTGCCAAGCGGCCTGAGGACACAGCAGGGGACTTGCTGCTGCCACGTCAGGGTAGACTCATCACATTTTTTAAGAAAAACCATAAACTAGTAAGAAATAATTCCAGAGCTTCCCGTCCACCAGCAGCCTGGGTCCCCACTTCTCGGAACTGCCATGGTAGGGGTCTTCCAGGATGCCCATGACCCACCCGGGCCTGAGTCTCCAGCTCCAAGCACTGCGACAGGTCAGACGGCAGCAGCAGATACTCACGGTCGAGAAAGAGCCTTCGCCCAGAATTTTCCCAAACTTGAAATCTTCCGGCCGTTTCTTCCGAGGCTGAGGCGGTGGCTGGGCAGCATGCTGCAAGGAGGTGGCACTCGGCCGGGACTCGGCTGTGGTGCCATCCATGGTGGGGTTCTGCCTGCTGCCACCGCTTGGGACACCAGGGGCTGAACTGGACTCAGTCTGGGTCCTCACCATGGATGGGGATGGGCAGGAACATAACACAACGCTGGACTGAATGGGAACGGCGTCATACTGATGGACACAAAGAAGAGAGGTGAGAGTCAAACAGTGCCCACCAAGTGCCACACGAAAGTGAGCGCCACGCAGAACACTGCCAAGTGCAAGTTGCTCCTGTGCAGCCTTCTGCTGTGCCACCCCAACCCCACCCCACCCTCACTCCTCAGGCCCCGTCCTCAGCTCCTCAGCACCGCACACAGCGCCCCTGGCCATCTTCCTGCTGCCAGACTGAAGCAACCAGACAGAGTGTGTATGTTTATTTTTGCGGATGAACACGGTTAGGGTTAGGTACAGACAACCAGTGCTGGCAAGGCTGGCCAGAGCAAGCACACACACAATGCAGCAACCTGGTCCAACTGTGGTCAGAGTGGCCATCTGGGGAGAGAAGCGGGAAAGGAAGATTCCCTCCTTCCGCTCTCCCTCTCTTTCTCTGTAACTGCCTAAAAATAAATGACCTTTAAAAAAATAAAACAGGGCCCGGCGCGGTGGTGCAAGTGGTTAAAGGTCCTCGCCTTGCATGCCCGGGATCCCATATGGGCGCCGGTTCTAATCCCGGCAGCCCCGCTTCCCTTCCAGCTCCCTGCCTGTGGCCCGGGAAGGCAGTCGAGGACGGCCCAAAGCTTTGGGACCCTGCACCCGCGTGGGAGACCCGGAAGAGGCTCCTGGCTTCGGCTTGGCATAGTATCGGCCCGTTGCGCTCACTTGGGGAGTGAATCATCGGACGGAAGATCTTCCTCTCTGTATCTCCTCTCTGTACATCCGCCTTTCCAATGAAAAAAATAATAAAAATAAATCTTTAAAAAAAAAATAAATAAAAAATAAAACACAATTAAGTGTGGACCTTAACTGTTGTACCTGTGCTTGTTAATCAGCATGAGAAATCGGGGCTTTGGAAAGGAAGAAACCCCCGAGAACAAGTGGGGCACACAGAGTCAGCACAGTGTGCTGCCAAGACGCTCAGCGGCCGAGCCAGGCCGAGACACAGCAAAGTGGGTTCCAAGACAGAAGGCAAGCTATACAGCACATCCTCTGACAAGACAAGACACACAAGCAACGGAAGACAGGGAGCAGACAGCAAGAACCAGCAGGTGGCCGCACAGCCCACAGCATGGAGTGAGCCTTGGCTGTGCACAGGTCAGCTCAGGCATTGACACCCCAACAGACACAGCCCATCTCCACTTCCCAAAAGGGAAGTAGCACTAGGAACTGTACCTGGGCCATAGCTGTTGAGGTTATCCCAACTCCACACAAAGCACACCCATTCTGCAGGGACAGGTGTTGTAGCTGAGTAAACTAAACAAACACTTGCAGTGTCGACTTCCGTGAACAGAGTGCTGGCAGTCCTGGCCACCGGCTTCCTGTTGAACTGCAGCTGATGGCTCCTGGGAGGCCGACCAAAGGCAAGCACTCAGGACCCCTTCCCCCGCCTCCCACGTTGCAGAGCCAGATGGAGGCACAGGCCACCAGCCCAACCTGGCGCAGGCCTGGCTGAGGTTGGCATTTGGGGAATGAAGTGTGGGTGGAAGATCTCTCTGTATTACTCTGGCCTTCAAGCAGATGAAAAGGCACGTAAGAACAAGCACTGCGTCACTGTGCGTGTCGGACGCTGCGTCACTGTGCGTGCCGGAACAAGCACTGCGTCACTGTGCGTGCCGGAACAAGCACTGCGTCACTGTGCGTGTCGGAACAAGCACTGCATCACTGTGCGTGTCGGACACTGCGTCACTGTGCGTGCCGGAACAAGCACTGCGTCACTGTGCGTGTCGGAACAAGCACTGCGTCACTGTGCGTGTCGGACACTGCGTCACTGTGCATGTCAGACACTGCGTCACTGTGCTGCAACACGACGCTGTGGTTGTGAAGGCCAAGTGCAAGGGCCATGGCAGGTCAGGATGCAGCTCCTGGTTCCTGGTTTCAGCCTCGGCCAGCCCTAACTACTTGGGAAGTGAACAAAGTATATAAAATATATTTTGCTCTGTTTCTCCTTCTTGCTGCTTCAAATGAATAAATAAATAAATAAGCCTTCTATAAAAAGTATAAAAATGAGACAACCAAATATACAGTGTCAATGAAATATAACTGACTAATAAAAACCTCAGACAGCAGATAAATAAAGTGTGCAAGTGTTCATTTTCTAGGGTGCTAATGGGTATTTAAATGCTCAATAAAATATATGCCACGGGCCCAGCACTGTGACCTAGCGGCTAAAGTCCTCGCCTTGAATGCACCAGGATTCCATATGGGCACCGGTTCTAATCACAGCAGCTCCAATCCCCATCCAGCTCACTGCCTGTGGTCTGGGAAAGCAGTTGAGGACGGCCCAAAGCCTTGGGATCTTGTACCCACAGGGGAGACCTGGAAGAGGCTCCTGACTCCTGGCTTCAGACTGCCTCAGCCCCAGCTGTTGCAGTCACTTGGGGAATGATCAGTGGACAGAAGATCCTCTCTGTCTCTCCTCCTCTCTGTATATATCTGACTTTGCAATAAAAATAAATAAATCTTAAAAAAAAAAAAAAAGAAAAGAAAGGAAAAGAAATCAAGGCACCTGGTGAATCAGGACTGAGGTACACTGAAATTTTACATTCTTTTCTGGTCACTTCCAAAATGTGAACTCACTTAACTGTAAGGTGAGATACGGTGCTGGTGTCGGGGTGCAGTGTGTTAAGCCCCTGCGACGCTGCATCTCCAATGGACACCAGTCAGAGCCCTGGTTTCTTAGCTGCCATTCCAGTTCCCTGTTAATGTGAACGGCCCAAGTGTTTGCATGCCTGCTACCCATGGAGGAAACCCCAATGGAGTTCCAGGCTCCTAGCTTCAGCCTGCCCCAGCCCTGCCACCGTAGCCATTAAGGGAGTGAATCAATGGATGGCAAATCAAGCAATTAATCAATTCCCCCACCTCCCGTCTTACACTCTCCACCTTTCAAATAATAATAAAAATAAAGAAATACATGCAAGATTAAATAAAACCAACAGTGCAGGAAGTACAGACACTGTACCTATAGAAAGAATGATAAGGAGAGACACGATGGAAGTTGAGTGTTAGAGGGGACTTAGGGTCTTCCTGCCACGAACTGACTAGACTCTCAGTACTCTGCACCAACATCCTATCCCCCAAAAACAGAACCAAAGGCCCCAACGTCCATGCTGGCATGAAGGTGGCCTGGCAGGCAGGCAAGCAGCAGTGGCTGCAGCCCCACAGGTACAGGGGAAGGCCATGAACTCCCATCACAGACTCAAACACTCGAGGCTGAGAACTCACCAAGTATGCAGCCGCAGGCTCCCAGGGGCAAATATGAGCAGCAGCAGAGAACAAGCAGCTCAGCCAAGCACCAAAGCACCACTCATCAGGCACGCCACCATGTGGATCACAGTTCCTAAAGTCCGGTGCCAAGTCAATGGGCCTTACACAAGAGGAACCAGGAGTCCAATCATGACCCTAATGAGGTGTCCCTCTAATCAAAGCCTAGAACACAGCACATCACTCTCCCCTTGGAGATTAGCAACAACAATACAACGGCTCAGGTGGCTAATCCTGCACCTGCAAACACCAAGATCCCATGTGGGCACTGGTACATGACCCAGATGCTCCACTTCCCATCCAGCTCCCTGCTTGTGGCCTGGGAAAGCAGGCGAGGACGGCCCAAAGCCTTGGGACCCTGCACCCACGTGGGAGACCCAGAAGAAGTTCCTGGATCCTGGCTTCGGATAGATGCAGCTCCAGCCACTGCAGCCACTGGGGAGTGAATCAGCAGATGGAAGATCTTTCTCTCTGTTAATTTCCCTTTCAAGTAAAAACAAATACATTTAAAAAGAACCAAATAAATCAATAATTTCCTGTCTTCAGGGGCCATGGTGACACCACAAGAACTGTAAGCAGCCTGCAGAGTCCTCCCAGGACGGTCAGTGTGCAGGGAACGGCTTGCACGGGGCCTCTGCGGCTGTGCAGACCTCAGGCCATGACTGCAGGAGTAGCAGTGTGCTGCCTGCAAGGACAGTCAGGGACAGGAGAGGAGCCAGCACTTCCACAGAGCAAGTGACACAGCAGGGCTGCACGCTGCCTGGGCCACACCTGTGCCGAGCACACTCCCGCCATAGTTGCTCCACGAAATGTCTAAGAAACATCAACGTGGTCCTGTCTCCTGGCTCTCTGAGACGCCCTGTGAGCCCTGCTTCCTGCTAGGCAAGGGTCAGGAGCCACGCAGGGAGAAGTCCAGCCACAGCGCAGCAGCACCCAGGCAGGGGCAGGGCTCATTCTGCTTTAAGAGTCAAGGGGATGTGCTGCTTCCACTTAAACACTGACAAGTCATGTATGGAGTAAAATCTCAAACATTTAAAAATAATTTTTTTATTTCAAAGAGCTACAGAAAGGGTGGGAGGGAGGGATAGATATTCTACCCACTGAATCACTCCCCAAATGGCTGCCACTACCAGGGATGGGCCAGGCCAAAGCCAGGAGCCAATCCAGGTCTGCCACCGTGGGTGGCAGCAGCCCAAGTACTTCAGCCTTTGGTCAGTAGCAGGGAGCAGCCACGCACAAACCAGCAGGCATATGGATGCTATTATACCACAACACCAGCCCATGAGGGAATTTTTTTTAAACAGCAAAATGAGACACACTGACTCATGAACCTGGCACACCCACACATCAACATGCCTCTTCACCCATCATGGATAGGCAGACGTGCCCACGTAGCTTGCAAGTGGAAGTTACTGGCTGCTGTGCAGCAGACAGGACCTCAGCCCTGGGCAGTAATGCAAGAGTCACCCAAGAGCAACAAGGACTGCCCCACAGGGTCAGCACGAGGCCTGGAGAGACCGGGCCTCCAGGAAGCAGGCACCCATATCACTAGAAGGAAATAGTGAAGAAATGGGCCATGGGGGAGGAATGTTCCCATAAGCCCATCACCAAAGTGGGCATTCTGGGACAGATTATCCTGACTAGAGCTGGAACTTTGGCACAGAGGGTAAAGCCACAAGCTAAGGCACCAGCATCCCATTCAGGCGCTGATTCAC